AAGGCACTCAAATACAACTGGGGAAGAGCTTCCACCTCAAAGTAGAGTCAATCTTAATGACGTGGATGGAATAAAACTTTTGGGATCTTCATTTGCTGAGGTGGCACGACTCAAAATGAGAAGAAACAGCTGCAAACATCCATTAATAATTGGAACATGAATGTACGAAGTATGAATCCAGGAAAATTGGAAGTTGTAAAAAATGAAATGGAATGCATAAAGATAGACATTCCAGGCATTAGTGAGCTGAAATGGAATGATATTGGCCATTTTGAATCTGACAATCATATAGTCTACTATGCCAGGAATGACAAATTGAAGAGGAATGGCGTTACATTCATTGTCAAAAAGCATTTCAAGATCTACCCTGAAGTACAGCACTGTCAGTGATAGGATAATACTCTTACACCTACAAGGATGACCAGATAATACTATTATTCAAATTTACACACCAATCACTAAGGCCAAAGATTTTTACCAACTTCTGCAGTCTGAAATTGATCAAATATGCAATCAAGATGCCCTGATAATTACTGGTGATTGGAATGTGAAGGTTGGAAACAAAGAAGAAGGATTAGTAGTTGGGAAACTACTTGGTGATATAAACGATGCTGGAGATTGTATGACAGAATTTTGTAAGATGAACGACTTCTTCACTGAAACTCTTTTTTCAACAACATAAACGGGGACTATACACGTGGACCTTGCCAGATGGAAAACACAAGAATCAAATCAACTGCATTTGTGGAAAAATGTCAGAATAAGACCAGGAGCCGACTGTGGAACAGACCAACAATTGCTCATATGCAAGTTCAAGCTGAAGCTGAAGAAAATTAAAGCAAGTCCACAAGAGCCAAAATATGACCTTGAATGTATCCCACCTGAATTTAGAGACCATCTCAAGAATAGATTTGATGCATTAAACATTAATGACTGAAGACCAGACGAATTGTGGGATGACATCAAGGACATCATACATGAAGAAACCAAAAGGTCACTAAAAACGCAGGAAAAAAAGATCAAAACGCATGTCAAAAGAGACTCTGAAACTTGCTCTTGAACACACAGCAGCTAAAGCGAGTGGAAGAAAGATGAAGTAAAAGAGCTGAACAGAAGATCCCAAAGGGCAGCTCGAGAAGACCAAGTAAAGTATTATAATGAAATGTGCAAAGACCTGGAGTTAGAACACCAAACGGGAAGAATGCGCTCAGCATTTCTCAAGCTGAAAGAACTGAAGACAAAATTCAAGCCTCAAATTGCAATATTGAAGGATTCTATGGGCAAAATACTGAACAATGCAGGAAGCATCAAAAGAAGATAGAAGGAATACACAGTCACTGTACCAAAAAAAATTGGTTGATGTTAAACCATTTCAGGAGGTAGCATATGATCAAGGACCAAAGGTACTGAAGTGCAAGCTGCACTGAAGGCACTGGCGAAAAACAAGGCTCCAGGAATTGACAGAATACCAATTCAGATGTTTCAACAAACGGATGCAGCGCTGGAGGTGCTCACTCGTCTATGCCAAGAAATCTGGAAGACAGCTACCTAGCCAAATGACTGGAAGAGATCCATATCTGTGCCCATTCCAAAGAAAGGTGACCCAACAGGATGTGGAAATCATTGAACAATATCATTAATATCACACGGAAGTAAAATTTTTCTGAAGAAAATTCAAAAATGGTTGCAACAGTACATAGACAAAGAACTGTCACAAAGTCAAGTCGGATTCAGAAGAGGATGTGCAATGAGGAATATAATTACTGATGTCAGATGGATCTTGGCCAAAAGCAGAGAATACCAGAAAGATGTTCATCTGTGTTTTCTGACTATGCAAAGACATTCAAATGTGTGGACCATAACAAATTACAGATAACATTTCGAAGAATGGGAATTCCCGGACACTTCATTGTGCTCGTGAGGAACCTGTATGTAGACCAAGAGGCAGTTGTTCGAACTGCTTGGTTTAAAAACAGGAAAGGTGTGCATCAGGGTTATATTCTTTCACCATACTTATTCAATCTGTATGTTGAGCAAATAATCTGAGAATCTGGACTATATGAAGAAGAACGTAAGATTAGGACTGGAGGAAGAAGACTCATTAATACGCTGCGATATGCAGATGCCACCACCTTGCCTGCAGAAAGCAAGGAGGACTTGAAGCACTTACTGATGAAGATCAAAGATTACAGCCTTCAGTATGGATTATACCTCAACATAAAGAAAACAAAAGTCCTCACAATGAGACCAATAAGCAATATCATGATAAATGGAGAAAAGACAGAAGTTGTCAAGGATTTCATTTTACTTGGATCCACAATCAATGGCCATGGAAGCAGCAGTCAAGAAATCAAACGACGCATTGCATTGGGCAAATCTGCTGCAGAAGACCTCTTTAAAGTGTTAAAAAGCAAAGATATCACTTTGAGGACCAACATGTGCCTGACCCAAGCCATGATAGTTTCAATCGCCTCTTATGCATGCAAAAGCTGGATAATGAATAATGAAGACCAAAGAAAAACTGATGCCTCTGAATTATAGTGTTGGTGACAAATATTGAATATACCATGGACTGCAGAAGAATGAACAAATATGTCTTGGAAGAAGTACAGCCAGAATGCTCGTTAGAAGCAAGGATGGCAAGAGTTTGTCTCATGTACTTTGGACATGTTATCAGGGGGTACCAGTCCCTGGAGAAGGACATTGTGCTTTGTAAAACAGAGGTCAGTGAAAGAGAGGAACACCCTCAACGAGATGGAATGACACAGTGGCTACAACAATTGGCTCAAGCATAGCAAAGATTGTGAGGATGGCGTAGGACCAGGCAGTGCTTCGTTCTGTTGTACATAATGTCACTATGAGTCGGAATCGACTCGACAGCACCTAACAACAACAATCTTTATGGGAGCAGATTGCCAGATCTTTCTCCTGTGGAGCCACTGGGTAAGTTTGAACCACCAATCTTTCAGGTAGCAGCCGAGTGCTTAACTGTTGTGCTCTGGCCACCAGGGTTTCTATTATACTTATTAGCAGGAAAAAGTGATACCTAATTTTAAACAGATTAGAAGCCATGACTGTAGTAATAATAATAATAACAACCACCACCACCAATTTATCTCAGAGCATGCCAAAGAATATGATGAGTGGTTAACATTGCCTTGTGCCTTATAAAACAAGCCTTAACTTCCCCCCTCCCCAGGTACTTCTGTGTCTTAGTTTTTTCAGACTCCTCATACGCAGCAGTTTCCAAGCACAGAATTCCAAAGCTGAAATGTCTTTAGTCTTCCTAAGGTTGGCACAGACTCTAAGGAATTGAGAATGCCAATAATCCTAGAGAAACAGATGGACGTTTTAAATCACAAACATTTATGAATAACCCAGACGCTGCAGTGTTGGACAAAACAGGGGAATAGATGTTAGCCTCTCTGTATGTCCTTCCATCCAAATGAGGTAACCTGCTAAGGCCAGGGCAGAAGGAAGGGAGAAAGGACCCTCTAGACTGAAAGATGAAAAAAGCCTGGCTCAAGAGGGTATCACCTCACAGAAACAGGTCACCTGTGAAATGAAAGCTCGTTTTCCTAAGGTTTGCAAAGCGGATCTGAGTTGATGCAATCCTCATTCTGACTTTGTAAGATGTCATAAAATGACTTTTTGGCTATCTACTGAGTGTTTGAGATTGGATAAAAAGGATGATGCGATTATTCCCCAAACTGTGTCCTAGTACGAGTCATGGGATGTTAGACTTGAAGAGGAAGTCACAGGTCATAGAATCATAAAGACAAAACAAGTTAAAGCCAAAGAGGACTTCCTCAAAGTCTAATGCAACAGCCTGCAATTTCAAAACAGAAAATAGGACAAAGTGATTCACAGGTGTTATGGAATAAAAAAGAAAGTGAAATACTGGAAATAAAGTGAAGGTTTAAAAACAAAAGAAAAAGTCCTGGATTTAGACGTTACGAGATACAGATTTGGAAAATACTTTTTTTTTTTTTTTAAGGAAAAGTTTCATCAGTTATTAAAAGTGGTCCAGAATTTCAGTCAGATGCTAAGGCAATCTTTTGAAGAAAAAAGTTGGAAATCTCTGTATTACACATCTGAGTGATCCAACTATATTTTTATACACTTTCTCTAGAATGCCACGGGAACATGCTTAAGATGTTACTTTGATGATTTGGTTTTGCTATATGCATTTAATAAACTAGGTATATGTGCTGTTTTGGCATTCTTCTGAATTGGTAAATATGTTTCTTGAATAAATACCATGATATGTTTAAGTATTTTGACATCTGCTTCTGAATTTTAAGGAGATTCATTGTCCAAGGTATAACCAACATCCGTTGGTTCGGTTCCTCTTTATAAATAAGCCAGTTTAGAATAACGGACTCCCCTCTAAATCTCTGGTCTCTATATCACTTTGTAGAATTACAGTAGATTTGCTTTGTGTTTTCCTTTAAGACTTAAAAATCATTCCACTTAATTCTTGTCAAAGATTTTTGTCAGTTAAAAGAGTTATTAAGTGTTCATTTGTCCCCCTTACCACAGCGCGGTGAACAGAAGTTACTTGGCGACCTCCCGGGATGCATCTATAACAGAAAAGGCAAAGCCAAGGTTGAATGGCTCCTGGATGGAGAGAATTTAAGCATGGTGGTGGGTGCCCACGCGTCTTCAAAGGACTCATATTTCGTAGCATTAGGACACTGGTTCCCAAAGTTCCGTCCCCTCACGGGCTGCGTCAGGACATTTGTGAAAAATCCTGATTCCTGCGCCCTGAGCTACACCTATTGAATCAGGATCTCCTGGCTGGAACCCGGAAATCTGCATACAAGAGCGGCAGTCTGGCTGGAGAACCACAGCAGGGATTTCCACGCCCCTCGTTCCGGCCGTCTCGCGCGGCTTCGCGCCCTTCTTCCCGTGATGCCCTGCGCCCGGCCGCTGCGGTTACCAGGCAACGCGCTGTCTCCCCCCTCCCCCCGCCACCCCACCCCGGGCAGGGTCGAGCGAGGGACCGCGGGGCTATGGGGCCGCGGGGCCTGCAGTCACTCCTGCTCGTGCTCCTGGTCTGTTGGGCCCTGGTGAGCGCCCAGACTGGGGCCACCCCGGCGGTGACGACGGAGGGCCTCAACTCCACCGAGGCAGCCCTGGAGACTCTCGGAGCCTCCCCGTCGTCTGGGCCCCCTGCCACCCCCAAGGCTCCAGGCCCCTCCTCCGGCCCCAGGCCCACCCCGGTCACGGACGGTGGGTACCAGGTGCCAACTCCTAGGGTCCAGAGTGATCCAACCGGGAGGGGTAGTCCGCGCGAGGATGTAATGAGAATGATAGCTAACGTTTACTGAACACTTACTGTGTGCCATACATTGCCGAGTGTTTCATAGGCATTCTGTAATTCTCCAACAACCCTGAGAGGCAGATGTTAGTATCCCCGTTATACAAACGAGGAAAACCAAGGCTCGGAGAGCGTAATGATTCAAAATCAAATATTTGAAAGTACTGGCGGAGGTCTTGGACAATACTGATGTTAAAGGTAATAAATACTGAACAAAGCATTGCAGCATTCCAGCGGACGATGAAATTTAGACAGAAGTTTCTAGACAGTTACGGAAATTAAATGGATAGAATGCATTCACCTTTTTTACTTTAATGTATCAAAGAGACGGCAAAGGTCTGGTTTACTAAAGGTCAAGGCCCTTATTTGTTGACTTGAATTCTGAAACTCAGGATTCCTCCTGTGTTAAGTTGGTCGTGGGAAGGTATGGGGTGAGGGATTTTGCCCACTTCTTAGGAGTCATAATATAGGAGTGATTAACATTTCTCAGAAAGTGACCCTCTAATCCGAGAGTTACACATTTAGTGAATATTTTATAATCTGTTTGCCATGGATGACTTCAGGGGGTGTCTATGACCCCCTGAGATTGAGTGCAAAATCTTGTGAATATGCATTTTTCTGGGGTGAGGGTCCATAGCAATCAGATTTTCAAAGGCATTTAGGTCTCTAGATAGATAGGTGGATGGATCAAATAGATTTTCTGACTGTGACGATTGAAAGTAGGTGTGCAGTAGATTTTATCCTCACTTAAGAAAACAATATTTTTTCTAAAATTGAGTATGTCTGGTATTAACTAGAAATGTCATTATTGGCTGATGTTGTGGACTCTAGGACTTAACTTTAGTTACTGCACTATTTCTCCAAAGGGCCTCCTTTATAACTTACGAGTAGTTTGTAAGAAAAAGTACGGTGAGGTATATTTGTTTGTTTAATAGAGATGAACAAAACTCTGTTTTATATTTAAACTGTTGATTTGATGAATTAGTAAGGAAGTTAAATCAGTGATAAATTGTGATGGAATACAGCAGAGTATTCAATACCCAAAATTCTCTAAGGTTTTTGGAGCTGGATTGTCTTTATTATGTACATAAGTCCTCCATCTGTTAATGCACTTTCTCTCTGAAAGGAAGCTATTCTTGACCCATCATTATTAGCGTTTGTGTTCAGGGCTCTTTTGCCATTATGGAGGATGAATTTATACTGATCTTCATTTTTTTAAAGGATCTCTCTTTAGACCTGTGGCAGTAATGATAACTGTCATTTATTAACTGCTCAGTATGTGGCGGAGCTCTCTGGTGGTGCAGTGGTTAAGAGCTATGGCTGCTATCCAGAAGGTCAGCAGTTTGAATCCACCAGCCACTCCTTGGAAACCCTTTGGGGGCAGTCCTACTCTGTCCTGTAGGGTCACTATGAGTTGGAATTGACTTGAGAATGGGTTTGGTTTTTGGTTTTACTATGTGGCAGGCACTGTGCTAAGCATTTCACGTATGATATATCTCACTTCACCCTCATAACAACCCTGTGATGTTATCCCCATTTTTCAGGTAGGTGAAGTACTTGCTTAATTTAAGGCCACATGGCTGGTAAGTGGTGGAGCAGAAGGCTGGCTCCAAGTAGAGAACTGGACAGCCATTTGCAGAACGGGTTGCAGCCAGTGTTGGTGGAAGAGAGGAGTGGTAACTATTCATTTTGAATCTGAGCTCTGCTCATTAGTACCCTACTGTACAAGCCAGGCGTGTAGACGTTAAGAGGCATGGAAGAGCTACTTAGACCCTTCAAGTGCCCAACAGATACTTGTTGGCTGATTAAGTACACTCACAGCCTGGATAGAGACCCTTCTTTCCTAAGTGAGTTATTAAACACTGTTGCGTTGTCCTTAGTAGTTTATAACTACTTCCAGGGGTTTTAAGTTTTAGAAGAAAAGTCAAGATTGTACTTTTAAACACATAATCCAGGGAACCTAAACTTCTCATTTATATTAGCTTGCACAAGTTGCATTATCGTTTTACTAAGTGCATAGAGAAGTCCTTGGCTAGAGAGAAACACAAAAACTTCATGGGGGAACCTTTGGTGTCTTAGACTAAGAAAGGATCGCACTTCTTGACAAAATCTTGCCTTCCCCTCACTAACATTTTTTCCAGGCTATGTTATTTTGCCTTTTTGGGTGTATGTTTTTTGAAGGCTTATTTTTATTGTGAAATAATTAAAGCATACAAACAAGAATGTTTATGTGGATCCTGTACCAGCATTATAAAATCTTAACATTATGCTATATTTGCTTGAGATCCTTTTATGAAAAAAGAAAACATTACAGATAAGATTGCGGCCCCCATCTTATTCCCTCCCTCTCGACTATAATCACTACCATGAATTCAGGGTATCATTCTCATGCTCTGCTATTTCTTTGAAAGGGTTTTTTTTTTTTTCTTCCTGTTTTGACAGAATAAATAGGGAATTAAAAATGCAGTAATCATCACTATTAATAATGAAACATTGTTAAGTGGGCTTCTTACACACATGCACGCACATACACACACACCTGCCTTGCCTTGTCCAAATTACTAAGGATATTTCTAGGACCCCAAGTACTAAATCCTGAATCAGTTTGATTCTTGGCCAGTAACCTATGAAGATAGGTTCAGTTACAAAGCTGCTGGTTATGTATGGGGAGAGGGACAAGATTGAAAACCCTGTTTCCTAGGTGGGCCCAGTCCTCTGAGTTGGACACTCCAGAAGAGCGGCTTGGAAAGCTGCCATTTCAAGCAGGTGGCTCTTACGGTCAGGCAAGTGACTTAGCCTGCTGCTTCTTAAACCTGTCTTAATTGTAACCACCACCTTTGGAAGTTTTTTAAAAAAACAGATGTCTGAGTTTCATATTCAGCTTAGTGAATCAGAGTCCACTGGTAGTACACAAACAATTTTCCAACTGAGGATTAGACACTCTGGGGAGCCTCTGATTGAAATTTTCATTTCACGAGTTTCCCCCAAAGTACACTAAACCCAAAACCCGTTGCTGTCCAGTCGATTCCAACTCATAGTGACCCTATAGAACAGAGTAGAACTGCCCCCTAGGGTTTCCAAGGAGCGGCTGGTGGGGTGGATTCAAACTGCCGACCTTTTGGTTAGCAGCCGAGCTCTTAATCACTACACCACCAAGGCTCCAAAGTATAAGTAGGGAAGATATAAGGATCTTTTGTGTGAAATCCATTTATGGTACATTGTAGTGGGAGGGGGCAGTCACTACCTGCTGATTGTGATGCTGTGTCTCCTCCACACCCCCCTCCTTTCTGTAGTTGCTGCCCTGTGTGTCTGTGACTTGTCCCCAACACAGTGTGATGTCAACTGCTGTTGTGATCCTGATTGCAGCTCCACGGATTTCAGTGTCTTTTCTGCTTGCTCAGTTCCAGTTGTCACGTAAGTTTATGACACGTCCAGTTTTGATAAAATTTGCCCAGGATAATATTTGGGGACAGAGGCAGAAAAACTCAATCCTTAGTACTTTCCAAACCAATATGTAAAGGAGTATCTATTCCTTATTTGGATCAGCCAGATGATAGTGCCGACAATAGAGAATAGAGTGTATGTTTTTTCTGAGGCGTATAATGAAATCCATGCTCAGAGACTGAGTTGCGTTTCATTTTGATTTATAAACAGATTGTGTTTTTGTATCAGTGAATTAGTCTCATATATAGCCTAGGGCAAAACGTACAGTTTAACTTCACAGTTTTTGTTGTGGACATAGTACTTGTAACAGAAGATTAAATAGACAGTCAGGAAGGCTTTGTTTATACTTTTCCGATATGTAAACTTACCAGGAATTCTGACAGTTCACATTGTACAGGAGAACAATTGAATGTGGCATTCCCTGTCGATTACACTGTAAAGAAATAATCTCTTCTGAATGATCTGTTTCTCGTAATTCAGATTTCAAAGTTTTTTGAAAGAATAGCAGTACTGAGATGAGGCTAATTTATTCAGGATGGGACCAGCTTACTGTTCAGAGATAGTTAATTTAAATTTAGCCTTTTGTAAGTTTTAGCAATTGATATTCGAGAGGGTGAATCCTTTCTGGAAGTTATGTAATATGTATTTCCCATGAGAAACTATCTTACTGACCAATGGGAAATTGAATCTACTTCTTATATTGTCAAAATGCTTGGAGAATGGGGTGTTGTAGTCAGATTAATTTTCTGGCTACCTGAACTATAGTGGGGTTCAGTCTTTTGAAAATCATTCCGCTTTCCTGCCTCAGGAAGTGCAGGAGCCTGGGAGTGAGGTTTCTGCTCAGACTTGGGATCATTATTTAGAATGTAATATTTTTTATTAGTACTATAATTTTAGATGTAGAATGTTTAGAATAGGGGTCAGCAAACTTTTTCTGTAAAGGGCCAGATAATAAACATTTTAAGCTTTGCAGGCCATGGAGTCTTGTTGCAGCTACTGAACTCTGCCATTGTTGAGCAAAAGCAGCCATCCACAATGTGTAAATGAACAGCGTGGCTGTGTTCCAATAAAACTTTATTTACAAAAACAGGGTTTGTGGACCCCTGGTTTAGAAGTTAGGCTTGAATTCTTAGTGCCTTCAGGAAGTACATGAGAGTTTTGTTGAGTTAGTTTTGCTGTGACTTTCTCCTAAAAATGGAGTATAGAAATCAATAATGGAAAACTAATAATAATAATAATCCTAATTAATAATCCTAATTAATTGCACATGCTGGTTATTTAGGTTCCAAGTCATAAAAGGTTTGTTAACATTTGTTAAATTGTCAACAAGGATTTGTTAAATCCTATCATCTAATAAATTTTTAATTTATTTGCAAGATGTTGATGTCTGTTTTCCCCATTAGATGTAAACTTCGTAGAACAAGAAGAATATTACTTTTATTTACTACCAGGGTCTAGCACAGTTCCTGCCACATTGTTGCCCTCATTAAAAATTAGTTGAGCTCTCCCTTTGTCCCCTGTGAGTGGATCAAGATGCTGAGTGAGGCCCTGCTGGGGTGGCCATGCAGCAGAGACAGGAGCTTGGCCTAGACAGACGCATGGGCCCCTTGCCCTCTCACCTCCCACCTGCTCACCGGCTCAACTCAGCTCAAGGCTGCTGTGCAGCAGCCACAGTTCACGTATGGTCCACACTTGCTTCTCTTTGGTACCCCCGGCCCTGGTGCTGCCTGGAGGCAGCTGCACTGAGGGATCATGGCCCAAGTAGCAATCTCTACTCTGCCTGTGAAGAAGAGGAGTCCTTGGAGAGCAGGATGGTGGTGAGGTTCCTCCTGTTGGCTCATGAGTCAGTGTGTAAAGAACTAGCCAACTTCAAGGCAGAAGTGGCCTGCCCTGCAGTGTATGAAACGGATGTATTTGTTATTGGAACGGAGACAGGACATACTTTTGTCAGTACCAGAAAGGATTTTCAGAAAGATTTGATAAAATACTCTGTTGAAGAAGAAGAAAAGGCTGCAGAGATGAATAAAATGAAACCTACAACCCAGGCAAATTGGATGAGTGTAGATGCTGTAGAAATTGAAACACTCAGAAAACCAGTTGAGGACTGTATCTGTTTTTGCTATGGAAAAGCTTTAGGCAAATCAACAGTGGTACCTGTTCCATATGAGAAGAGGCTAAGAGACCAGTTGGCTGTAGTACTGCAGGGGCTTCCTGAAGGAGTTGCCTTTCAACATCCTGAGAATTATGTTCTTGCAACCCTGAAATGGATTTTGGAGAACAAAGCAGATATTTCATTTATCATTAAGAAACCTTTCTGAGAGCCGAAGAAGTACCTAGGCAATCGTGTGATGGTAAGAGATGCTAATAGGTCAGTACTATTTCCAGGTGGAAGTTGTGGTCCTATCAAAGTGAAAACTGAATCCACGGAAGATTCTGGCATTTCCCTGGAGATGGCAGCTGTGACAGTAAAGGAAGAATTGGAAGATCCTGATTACTATGGATATAACATTCAAGGAAGCCATCATCCTTCAGAGAGCAGTGAAGGAACAGAAATGGAAGTACCAGCAGAAGATTCTACTCAACATGTCCCTTCAGAAACACGTGAGGACTCTGAATTGGAGGTGACTACTAAAGATGATGATTTTTCTCCCCCTACCAAAAGACCAACCAAAGAGCAGTGAGCCACCACCGCTGCCAGCTACTGAACCTGCCAGTGCCAGAAAATTAAAAGTGAGGGAGTTCAACTTGAGAAATGGAATGCTTGAATCACTGATCTATGTAAACAAGATGAAGAGTTGTTTGGAAGAAAATAGGCTCAAGCTATAAAAGCCAAAGGACCTGTGAATATCCCATATACCCTTTTCCAGTCACACATTGAAGATCTTTATGTAGAAGGACTTCCTGAAGGAATTCCTTTTAGAAGGCCATCTGGTATGGAATTCCTTTCCTTGAGAGGATATTACTTGCAAAGGAAAGGATTCATTTTGTGATTAAGAAATGTGAACTTTTGAATTCAACACCTGAAGATTTACAGCTTGATAAACCAGCTTCAGGAGTAAAGGAAGAATGGTATGCTAGAATCACTAAATTAAGAAAGATGGTAGATAAGCTTTTCTGCAAAGAATTTGTTGTACCTTACCAGAAATTTGAGGCACATCCTAATGATCTCTGTGGAAGGACTACCAGAACACATTTCCTTTTAGAAGTCCTTCGTGGTATAGAATCCCAAGGCTGGAAAAAATTATTTAAGTAGGCAGTCAAATTATGTTTGTTATTAAAAGACCAGAACTTCTGACTCACAGTACAACTGAAGTTACTCAGCCAAGAATGAATACTCTAGTCAACGAAGGTTGGAATGTCAGAATTACCAAGCTACAAAAGTAAGTGGAGGAGATTTTAAATTTTAAATTTGCTCAAGCTCTTGGACTCACAGAGGCAGTAAAAGTACCATATCCTGTGTTTGAATCAAATCCTAAGTTCCTTTATGTAGAAGGTTTGCCCGAAGGAATTGGAATTCCACGATTTAAAAGAATTGTCCAAGGGAGTAATAAAATCAAGTTTGTTGTTAAAAAACATGAACTAGTTATTTCCTACTTGCGTCCTGGAATGGCTAGGAAAATAAACATTAAAGATTGCAGACCTCGAAAAGACCACGAAGCCCTGGGAGTAATTCAGAGGTTCCTGAAATTGAAGTCACTGTGGAAGGCCCTAATAACAACAATCCTCAAACCTCACCTGTTCAAACCCCTACCCTGACAAATGGTTCTAATGTTCCTGTCTTAGGTTGAGTTCTCTAGAGAAGCAAAACCAGTGAAGCATGTATATATGTATGTTTGTGTGTATATCTAGAGAGAGAGACAGAGAAATTTATCTCAAGGAAATGGTTTGCGCAGTTGTAGAGGCTGGCAAATCCCAAGTCTATGGGTGAGTTGTCAGGCTGGAGGCTTCTCCTGACTCATGGAGCTGCAGGGGCTGACAAACCCAAGATAGACAGGTCAGATGGCAGGCCACTTACTCACGGGCTCCGGAGGCCAACAAATCCAAGATCAGCAGGTAAGACAGCAGGCTGCTTGCTCATAGGCTGCGGAGGCTGACGAATCCCAAGGCTAGCAGGCAGTGTGGCAGGCAGATGGCTCAAGTCCCAAGAACGAGAGGTCAGATGATGACAAGCCAGATGCAGGATCCAGAGCAAGCAAGCAAGCAAGCAAGCAAGCAAGCAAGCAAGCTTTGCCAGAATGTCCACATATGTGTTGGATGCAGGCAATACCCCCAAGGAAACTCCCCTTACAACTGATTGACTGATCACATCAGATCACATCATGGAGGATGACTACATCATTACATAACAGCCAAATTACATTATTACATAACTGCCAAACCACTGAGAATCATGGCCTGGCCAGGTTGACACACAACTTTGACCATCACAGTTCCCTTCAAGCCTCCAGGGAGTTTTCCTTTGAGGGCTGGAATGCCAAAATCACGGACCTAAAACAGGAAGTTGAAAATCTTTTCAGTAAAAAATGTGGTGAAGCTCTTGGCCTTAAACAAGCTGTGAAAGTGCCATTCGCATTATTTGAATCTTCCTGGAAGACTTTTATGTGGAAGGCTTACCTGAGGGTGTGCCATTCCAAAGGCCATCTACTTTTGGCACTCCAAGGCTGGAGAAGATACTTAGAGACAAAGCCAAGATAAAGTTCATCATTAAAAAGTCAGAAATGTTTGAGACTGCAATTAAGGAGAGTACTGCCTCCTCTAAGAGCCCCCCAAGAAAAATAAATTCATCACCCAGTGTTAATACTACTGCATCAGGTGTTGAAGATCTTAACATCATTCAGGTGACAATTCCAGATGATGGAAATGAAAGGCCGTCAAAAGTTGAAAAAGCTGGATAGCTAAAAGAACAGGTGAATGATCTCTTCAGTCGAAAATTTGGCGAAGCAATAGGTACGGGTTTCCCTGTGAAAGTTTCCTACAGGAAAATCAGAATCAACCCTGGCTGCATGGTGGTCGATGGCATGTCCCCGGGGGTGTCATTCAAAGCCCCCAGTTTCCTGGAAATCAGCTCCATGAGAAGGATCTTAGATTCTTCAGAGTTTATCAAATTCACAGTCATTAGACCATTTCCAGGACTTGTAATTAATAACCAGTTGGTTGATCAGAGTGAGTCAGAAGGCCCAGTGATGCAAGAACCAGTTGAGTCAAGCCAGTTGGAGGTTCCCATAACAGAAGAAATAAAGGACACTGATGGAAGCTGTCAGATCAAGCGAGAACCAGACCCAACCTGGTAGACCTTCCCTCCTAGGCTTGAAGTATCAGTGGTTGAGAAGAGCTTTTCGGACCTGTTACTGCCTCAGGCTGCGTAATACACTTGTATAACAGAAGTACCTTCTATACAAACCTTTGTTTTCAACTTTTAGGTAGAAATGCTACTTTTTCAGCAGTTCCGTGAATTGAATTAACGAGCAGTGTGACTATAGATTTGGAATGGCTGGTTTACCTTGGAATGTATTATAAGGATTTTATGGCAATGCTGGCAAAACAACAGGGAACATGACAGGGATGAGTCTCATCAGATTTTTTACATATCAGCAGAGCCTTCAGCTACGTGTTTATTTTCTGATCAAGTGAAGATTATGTCCTACTGGAACATCTCAGCTTCTGCAGTGAAGAAAACACCTGTGATAGTTCAAGTCTTTTATTTTTTCTGTTTGAAAAATCCCTTAAATGATCCTTTGTTCATGGCTCTCCTTAATGACTGAGTAAACAATTAGTATCTGTATATTTGACTAAATGCTTTCCTAAGCTGTCTGTCATGGTTCATATGTTTTTTATCATAATTAAAAATAAAAAAATCTGCATCACCTAACAGTTAGTAACTCAGTGTGTGAGTTATAGATGAATTACAGAGAACCTCTTCCACTTTTACTTTTTGTCCAAATAAAGTGTATGGTGTATCAGAAGTTTAAGATCACATATGAGTATTTGGGCAGGCAAAATAACCCTAAAGCCTCATTATCATGTAACCAACTTATTGTGGCATGGAATTCTTTGGGACACTGTTCCAGCTTGGATGAGGCTCAAGGGTTTTCATTATTTTATATTTCCACTTGTAAGACTGAGGCTTCAGTGTGGGGAGTAAGGGGTCAATAAGCTAATGAGGCACCCTTTCATATCTATGCCATTTGTAGGAGAACCTTAACGTGTTGAGATTTCACAAACAATGAGAGTTGTAAAATACCACCTATATGAAAAGCTAGAGTATGTGATGGCATAGAGTTTTCATTAGCTTTATCACAGTATTCACCATGGAGAATTATATTACTTAGTAGCAGAAACAGGCATTTTTATGTGCTGCTTATACTTTACCTCAAGTTGTAGATATAGGGTAATAAATACAGTCCATCCATGCCTTTGAAAAAAAATTAGTTGAGTGTATGAATGAATTTCTCCCCTCTAAATTAATAAGAAGATGAGCATTCTAATAAAAAAAATGGTTATGATATGAATAAGCAACTTAAGAAGAAATACCAGTGATCAATAATTATATGGAAAAATGTTTAACCTCACTAGTAAAAAAGAACATTCAAATTAAAACAACAGTGAGGTAAGTTTTTTTTTTTTTTCCCCACCATGGAAGAGTAAAAACTGAATGGTAAGTCCCTGTCTTGGCAAGAGTACAGGGAAATAAGCTGTCTCTTCTCTCCCTCTCTTTTTAACTGAGTGACATTCATATAACATAAAATAAGCCATTTTTAAGTGATCAATTCAGCAGTGTTTAGTGCATTCACAGTGTTTTGCAACCTCACCTCTTTTCTAGTTGCAGAACATTTTCATCACAACAAAAGGAAAATACGTACTCTTAACGACAGTGTTGGTGAGGATGTGTGGAGTACCTTTCTGGAGGGCAATGTAGCAATATGTCTCAGAAGCCTTAAAGAATGTACCTATCTTACAGATCCAAACTCCCCGAGGGACTGAGTTGCTGGACGGAGGGCTCTGGGGACCATGGTCTCGGGGAACATCTAGCTCAATTGGCATGACACTACTTATAAAGATAATGCTCTACATTCTACCTTGGTGAGTAGTGTCTGGGGTCTTAAAAGCCTGTGAGCGGCCATCTAAGATACTCCACTGGTCTCATCTCTTCGGGAGTAAGGGAGAATGAAGAGAACAGGATACAACGAAAAGATTAGTCCAAAGGACTAATTGTCCACAGCTACCAAGACCTTCACCGGACTGAGTCCAGTACAGCTAGATGGTGCCCGGCTACCACCGCTGACTGCTCTGACCAGGATCACAACAGAGGGTTCTGGACAGAGCTGGAGAAGGATGTAGAGCATAATTCTAACTCACCAAAAAAAAAAAAAAAAAAAAAAAAGACCAGATTTACTGGCCTAAAGGAGACTGGAGAAACCCCGAGAGTATGGCCCCCAGACACCCTTTTAGCTCAGTGGTAAAGTTACCTTCGATGTTCACTGATCAGCCTGCGAGTGGACAGCCCAGTAAAACCATGAGAGTAACGAGGTACAGGAGTCCAGTGACAAGGCCCAGAAGGCAGAAGGGGAGTAGGAAGCTGATGATAGGGAACACAAAGTAGAGTAAGGATATTGTTGATGTGTTGTGAGATTGTTAACCATTGTCATAGGGCAACATTTGTAGTAACTGTCAAATGGGAGACTATTTTGTCCTATAAGCCTTCATCTTAAGTGAGAATAACAGCATAATTAGAAGAGCGTAGTCAATGTCACTTAAATGTGTATGTAAAAAAAAATTTTTGAAATGGCATATCTTTGGCTATGTGTATTTTCACCAAAAAAAAAGAAAAAAAAAAGAAGTTGAGTATTTAGAGAGTTAAAATGTTGTGGGGTTGTTAACCAATGTCATAAAACAGCATGTGTGTTACGGTTACATGAGAAACTATCTGTTCTGTAAGCCTTCACCTGAAGTACAATAAAAAATTAAAAAAAAAAAAAAAAGAATGTACCTATCTTTTGACTCAGCTAGTCCGCGTAGAGGATGTATCCTAAGGAAATAATTGGAGAGATTTCTAAAGATGTATGTAGAAGGATGTCATTAGAGCGGTAGATATAATAGGGGGAAAATCAGAAACAACCTAAACCAACAGTAGAGAATTGGTTAAACAAATTGCGGTCTGTTAATAACCTGATATATGATGAAGTCATTTAGTATAATATTGCAGAATATTTGATGACCTGGGAAATACCTGAAAATTTTTAGTGAGAAAATGTTTTATTTATAGCAATATGTAGACTATGATTCATTTTTGTTGTATCTCTATGTCCATACCATATCTATATGCTTCGGAAAAAGATTTGAATTACAGACACCAAAATGTGAGCATTGATTTTATAGGTGGTGTCAAGTTTTCAACACTACTTTGAAACTTCTTTAGTTTTTTTGAATCAACTACGCCCATTCTGCTTTTCTGTATCTTCCATAGTTATATCTGATAGATCAGTGTGATTGGGCTTTGTCAAGTCTTGGCTTAGGTGAAGACCTGCCTGGACCATGACTACTAAGCCCTGAAACGGCCAGATGACTTCACATTTTCTTGTTCTCACAATCCTTTGAAAACAGCCTTATTCTAAAGACAAGAAATTTTGGAGCCATTCCTGATCTGGTCATTATAAACAATCTGAAGTTCCACAAAATTTTATATAATTGATTCTATCAGAGTTTACCAGGTTCATTTACATAAAAATTGCGCCCTGACCTATATTCCATACTTGACAAGATTTCCTTCAGATTATTCTACTTGCCTTATTAGAGGAAAAAGTTTTGAATGCCAAACACTTTAACACTGAATAAACTAAATAAAAATGGAATTCAGTTCTAACATCACGCCTTCGTAAATATCCTCCAAGTAGCTGTTAACATGGTAAAGTACAAGCATCTGACAGTTTTAAAATAATCTTGTTAACCTTGTGTGCCTATGCCTTAAAACTTTGTTGTATTATTATCATTTTTTATCCGTAGGGGCGATAGCCAGTTTTGCAGTCAAAAAGCAGCCACCTATTCAATGAATTTTACAGCAGATCCACCTCAAAGGGTATTTAAACTTGTTGATAAGATCAATCCATCTATTTTCTGCGTTCATATTACAAACTGTAAGTATTTGACATTGATGTATTTTGTGAAACTCTGGAAGTAAATTTTTTTAGATTATTTTATGGCAAAATTTCCCATTCAGTTAGCTTTAAAGCAGTCTTATGGTTTGGCGAGGGTGCGTCTTCTCAGGCTACTTCACAGGTAACTGCAAGGAACTTTCCAGAGCTCTGGGCACACACATCTTTAAAAGTAATTGTGCTGTATAGTTGCCCTTGGGAATCTCATAATTGATTTAAAAGGTGTTTATAATCTGTAGACATGGATAAGAATCTAGATTTATTTATATAAATTTTTTTTTTAACTTTATTTCCTGTTGGTTTAATGGTTGAGAATCAGGTTCAGCTTTGAACATTACCTGTGGTTTCTGTTTCCTTTTTCTCTTTTATTTTTACTATGAATATTTGCATGAAAACAGGACTTTTATTTTTCTCTGAGCATTTAGCTCAAATAGGTGTCTAGGTCCAAAGTACATGTAAGTGTAAAATATTATGAAGACATGGACGTTCAGAGACACATTTATGGTTTCACTTATCTGTTGAACTTGTTTGTCATCTTTTCAGAATGCCTTTTATGTCTTGGTCCTGTTCCCTCATGATCAAACCCTTAGGCGAATGCTCTGCTGTTTGTAATGTGAAGTGATGACTGGTCAGTCATCATTATGCCCTCTGTCATACCATCCCAATGCACAAGCCAGCTGTTTCCTCCTTTGTTCACCAGCACATTTTTCTCCAGGGTTTGGAAGTTGTCTCTGTGAGGTTGAAATGTGGTTCTTGCATTCCTATACCATCCCTTGGAGCCTCCCCTTGGAGGTGTGTGCGCCACTCATCAGCCCTTGAGCTAGAGAAAGAGTGATTATTTGTGGCTTCTGTTGAGCTTTTTACCTGCAGGCTCTGGAAACCATTGCTTCTGTGCTGTTAGAGAAAGCGGCTGAGTCTAGGGATCCTATTTATTTAATAAGATTCAATATAAATATGGAAAAGACTTTAATTTTTCATATCAGCCTTAATGCTACTAAAAACTTTCCAAAATATTATATGTGCAATATATAAGATACATATTATATTTTATATTCATTTAAAATATTTTTTCCAAAACCAGATAAACCTGCATTATCTTTTATTAATCCTGAAGTGCCTGATGAAAACAATTTTGATAAATTCATGAAAACGTCTGGGGGTTTTGCACCGAATGCAGACTCAGACTTTTCTTCCACAACCAGATTGGATTCTCCAAATACTTCTGCTAAATATGAGGTGAGACAAGAACCTGGTTAAGTCTACTTGTTTAGTCGCATATATCCTGTCCCTGGAAGTTAAATTTTCAATATGTTACCAGCAAAACTGGCTCCTTCAAGACATAGAATTCATAAAGTCTTTGAGTCTTTGATGAGCTTGCATTTTGTCTCTGCAGAATTCTTTGTTCTTCTCAACCTCAGAAGATGCAGCAAATGCTTGAGGCATTCTGCTGGGAACATGGGGTGGATTGGTCCTCTTCTCCGAATCACATTTAGTGTTACAGACTTTGGGGCAGTGTTCGCTATTTTATATCTATTAGTCATTCTTTAAATGTGGTATACGTTAACTTTGAATAAACTTTTTCGAGGCATCTTTTTTTTTTTTTTTTCTTTGTACTTCAGGTGAAGGTTTACAGAACAAATAGTTTCTCATGAAACAGTAGTACACATATTGTTTTATGACATTGGTTAACAACCCCACTACATGTCAACCCTCTCCCTTCTCGATATTTTTTTTTTGGTGAAAATACACATAGCCAAAGATACACCATTTCAAAAATTTATACATGCACAGTTCAGTGACATCCACTACGCTCTTCCAGTAGTGCTGCTATTCTCACTTTAGATGAAGGCTTCCAGAACAAAATAGTTTCTCATTAAACAGTTAGTACACATGTTGCCCTATGACAATGGTTAACAACCTCACAACACATCAACACTATCCTTACTCAACCTTGGGTTCCCTATCACCAGCTTTCCTGTCCCCTTCTGCCTTCTAGTCCTTGTCCCTGGACTGCTGTGCCTCATTAGTCCCATTTGGTTTTATGGGGCTGTCCATTCCCTGGCTGAACGGTGAACCTCGGAAGTGACTTCACCACTGAGCTAAAAGGGTGTCTGGGGGCCATACTCTCGGGGTTTCTCCAGTCTCCTTTAGGCCAGTAAATCTGGTCTTTTTTTCTGTGAGTTAGAGTTTTGTTCTACATCCTTCTCCAGCTCTGTCCAGAACCCTCTGTTGTGATCCCGGTCAGAGCAGTTGAGGCATCTTTTTTAAAGGCAGAGTATAAAAGCAACATGAACTAAATCTAAAAGTCAAAAGTATAGAGATATACACAGTAAAAATTGAAAGGCTCCCCTTCCCCATTAAAATTCACATTGCAAATCACTGTTAACAGCTTGGTTTGTATTATTCCTGATTTTTAAATGTAGCTGTGAAAATATAGTATCATACAGAAGGTAGGTCCCTGGGTGGCACAAATGGTTTGTGCTTGACTACCTACCTAAAGGATGACGATTGTAACCCACCCAGTGGCACCGCAGAAGGCTTGGCAATCTGCTTCCTTAAAGATTACAGTAAAAAAAGACCTATGGAGCAGTTCTATTCAGTAACACATGGGGTCGCCATGAGTTGGAATCAACTTGATGGCAACGAGTTTGGTTTTGGTTTTGGGTGTTGTATAGAAGTTGGATTTCTAGTTATCCACATTGTTCTGTGGAGTCCCTGGTGTTGTAAATGGTTAATGCGCTCGACTGCTAACTGAAAGGTTGGAGGTTCAAGTCCACCCAGAGGTGCCTTGGAAGAAAGGCCTGGTGACCTACTTCTGAGAAATCAGCCATTGAAAATCCTGGAGAGCACAGTTCTCCTCTGACACACACGGGGTCACCAAGAGTCAGGGCTGACTTGATGGCAGCTGGTTTATTATCATCCCCTGCCCCCAACCACCTCATTCCTGCCTGTAGAGGCAAACACTTATATCAGTTTCTTGGGTATCCTTTTAGAGGAATTCCATAATCAAAGAGCCTACAAATATAGTAACATACATATACACAAATACGTGCATATCCTTAAAAGGTGGCGGGGGGGTGGTGTCAGTTAGATGTAAGCTTCCTGTGGGCAAGGACCACATCTGTTTTTTGCTCATCACTGTGTTCCTGGTGCCTACAGCACTGCCTGGCACATAGTAGGTACTCGGTAAGCAGTGAATGAATGACTTAATAACACCCTAACAGCTATTGGTTGTTCTTCTGTTTACAGTATGGTGTTCCTCTGCAGACTCTAGATTCCTTTCTGAGATTCCCTTCTCCTCTTACGTCATCTCTGTGCACTGATGATAACCCTGCAGGTAAGAGAGTAGGCATTCGGAGTTCTCTCTGTAAACTGTTTGCTGTGGCTTAAATGTAGTAGCCTTAATTCAGCAAGCTTCATGACTAGAAACAGTTTCAAAGGTTATCCAGGCCAGTTTTCCACCCGAGGCAGGAATCTTTTCCACCACATCCAGTCTCTGCTTGAGTACCACTAGAGATGGGAAACTCACTACCTGAAAAGGGCCCACTCAGGTGTTTGACACTTGCAGTTGCTGGAAAGCTTTTCCTTAATGGAACTAAAGTTAGCCAGTAGCTAACATGTACGAAGCACTTACTGTGAGGTGGGTGTGGTGCTAAGTATTTGCATGGGTTTTTCCATTGATTCCTCACCATGAGGTAGGGTGATTATTATTTAGATGAGGCAACTGAGATGTCTGTTTCTCGCTCAGGCCCACTCAGGCAGCGGAGGAGCCAGGGACAGGACCCACGCAGTCTGCCTGCAGCCCCTGCTCCACTGCTCTCCACTGCCTTCCACAGTCTCCTGCTTCCAGGAGCATCACAGAATCCACGGAGTAGCCCTCTAGGTTATGGGAGGCAGACGGCAGGCTCTCTAATTCTTAAGAAGCCTCACTCTGAAGAAGTAATGGATGATAGCATGTGCTTTAATGAAGATATCATTTGATACATGAAGGAAAAATGTATCATGTTGAAAAGATGATTAACCTTGCTCATCATAGGAACATTGTAAATTGAAACCAAACCAAGATGCTGTTTTCATCTCTCTGGTTGGCAAAGTTCAAAACATTGAGGCTGTGGGGAAATGGGTGCTCACCCACACTGCTGTGGTAGCAAGCTGGAATTGTGCAACCTCTGTGAAGGGCATTTAGCAATATGTGCCCAGTGACAGATGCCTGTACCCTGTGACCGGCTGGTCTACTTCCAGGAGCTGATCCTGTGGAAACTCTGCCCACGTACAAAATAATAGGTTGCAGCATTGCTTGTGATAGCAAAGACCGAGGGAGACCACTTACATGTCCATTAGTAGGGAACTGGTTGGATAAATTATGGTATATCTATAGTAGAATACTGATTATATTATCCTTAAAACAGGAGGAGGAAGTTCTCCGTGTACTGAGACAGACTGATCCCCAAGATATATTGTTCAGTGAAAAAAAACGAGGGTAAAATAGGTTGTATATCTTGTATCTGTGCCCCAAAGGTGGAAAGAAATAATAAATACTTCAAGAAGTATTTCCAGAGGGATATATAAGAAGCTTTATGCTGCTTGCCTCTGGGGAGAAAAATTTTGAACCCTATAAATATATTGGAGCCCTGGTAACATAGTGGTTGGCTGCTAACCAAAAGGTCAGCAGTTCGAATCCACCAGCTGCTCCTTGGAAACCCTATGGGGCAGTTCTACTCTGTCTAATAGAGTCGCTATGAGTTGGAATCGACTTGACGGCAATTTTTTTAATGAATGTATTACCTATTTGAAAAAAATTTTTTTTAAGATCCTATTTTAAATACATCACATATCTGTGTTGTAGTTTATTTTGTGGTTTTATCTAGATGATGACTTTTTTGTTTACCACTGGACTGTCACAAAACTTCTTCTGTTTTGTATTGTTTTTTTCCTTGGCAATGTTATGACTTCCAGCATTTCTGGTGAACCAAGCTGTTAAGTGCACCAGAAGGATAAATTTGGAACAGTGTAATGAAACTGAAGCCCTTAAAATGGCTTCTTACAGCCGCCCAGAAATTTTGAAGGTAAGAATTATTTTGAACTGGTTCGTTAGGTATGATTTCTGATCTTTGTACCCTTTTAAAACAGGTCGAGTATAGAATAATTTCAGTAGATGATTGACCCTCAAGCTTAAATCTCTCCAGTTCTCCGGCATCAGTAACCACTGAGTTTATCATTGAAATCATTTTTCTTTTTATATAGTTAGCACATACTTGGCTTTCATTTATTTTGATGGTAGCCAATAATATGTTTCTCCCATTAAAAAAATCTTAACAAATAACCAAAAACTTAAGGAATTATAGAAGCATTGTAATGCCTGTGACAAAAATAAACATATTAGCACCAAAAAGATAATCTCTCACCAATAGACCAGAAGAGAACGTCTCCCCTCTTGTTGGTGGATGAGATAGGCAGCCAGCACAGGACAGTCGTGGACTGCTGGAGAAGGGAGATGAGGTAGCTGTTGGAAGGGCTCCCCTTCTCTCTGCTTGCAGTGACCCAACTCTGAACTGAATAAACGTACGAGGCCCCTGGCACACTTGGAGGGACGCAAGATGGGGAGGAAATTTTTCTGTGATTAAAAACCATGTGATTATTGTGAAGGGCCCCTCCCCTCCAGATTTTCTTTTTTTTTTTGGTGGGAGTGGTGGAAGGTGTGGCACACGGCACCACTGTTCATCCAGGCTTCACCTGTCAGAATCAAGTTCAGCCTCTTCTCTTCTCCCTCACCCCCCTGCCTGTAAGTCAGCTATCTAGTTCTGCTCATTCTTCCAGCTCGTTTGATTTCTCACAGTTGCCCTGGAAGTGATCCCTCAAGCATCCAGGCACAGTTCTCCCTCAGCACAGGCCTCCCCAAACATGTCTACTCACCCTCTGAAAAGCTCTCAATGGCCTAATAAGGTGTCTTGCAATTTTAGAAGTGAGGTTGGAGGAGGTGGGGGGACAGGAAGTGGAAGGAGGTAGAACCCTTTGAAAGAGAGCGGGCCACTGCCTGAAAAAACAATAAAAATGCTTGTGTTTGTTGTACTTAAAATTTGTTGTGGTTTCTTTTTGTCTAGGTGCCTAATTCAAGAACAAAGGTAAGAATATTTCTTAATGGAAAGTAAGATGGTTTATAATACACTGTCTTATTTCTGAGCCCTTTTATATGAATACTTTTATGATTAGAAGGGGACCTTATTGCCAGTAACAAAAACATTTGCCAAAAAAAAAAAAAAAGAAAAGCAAGGTGAAATAGGGAAATTTCCTCAGTGGACAGCCCTTCCATAAACACATTTCAGAGTCTGAAGCTTCCTCACTTTTGTAGTTCCACAATTAGTCATGTTTGAATGGCATAACTCTGTGGCTGACGTTGGGTATGACTGACTTGTGTGTTTTCAGGACATCCTTTGGTGTCTTGTCAGGAAAGCTGGGTAGCACCCAGGACGGGTCCAGTGTAGAGATGTAAATGTTTACTCAGTGAATGTACAAATGGAGGCAGTGTCCACTCTCCATGTGGCCTTCAGGGATTGATGTGAAGGTAGGTTCTAGTCAAAATTTGTTGCCCCCACCAGGGGGACTGTTGGGCTGTGGTTGGGAGGCAGTTTTTTTCAGAAAGTCCATGTATATTGGATGTAGACCACACCCCCGAGGAAACTCCCTTTGAGCTGACTGGCTGCTCGTAGCAGATCTCATCGTAGAGGTGATCACGTCGTTACATAACTGCCAAACCACTGAGAATAGTGGCCCAGCCAGGCTGACGCACAACCTCAACCATCACAGTTGTGGGTCTGTCAGATCACTTCCAGGGTCTGTGTCTCAGGCCTGCTGCGAATACAGTCCCCAAGGAGGCGCAAGGCCTAAGAGTTGACATTTAGAGCAAACATCAGTTTTGTCACACAGATGGAAAGTCCCAGCTGTCTTTAGAGATACAAGCCATTTAAAGGATTGCTTGCCGCTTTGTCCCTCTGCTGGCAACAGCTATAAATGAGAAATGTCCTTTAATAGCATAGGGCTAACCAGCACTTCCTAGCTCTGTTTAAATGATCTGCCTCTCTCATGCTGTCTTGCCCATAGCCGCACCACCCTGAACCACTTGGGGTGTGTGTGTGTGTGTGTGTGGGTGTGGGTGTGGGTGTGGGTGTGGGTGTGGGTATTCAGGTATGTGTAGAAGCAGTGTATAAATTGGGTCAAGTGTATATTCTGTGGGGTTAGGGGTGTGTATTCTGGGGCTCTGTGGGGAATGTGCATGTATGTATAAAGTGAGTGGACTTATCAGTAGGAGTTGTGTTCTGGAAGGAAGAGTATATATGTGCATTTGATGGTTTGATGGAGTTCTATATGATCGAGTTTTTTTAGATATAATTCACATATCATAATATTCACCATTTTAAAGTGTACAATTCAGTGGATTTTGTAGTCTATACACAATGCGGTGCAAACATCCCCTCTATCTAAGTACAGAAAATTTTCATCACCCCAAAAAGAAACCCATCCCCACCTCTGCTAGCCCCCAGCCACCACTCATCTGCTTTCTGTCTCTATGGATTTGCCTGTTCTGGACACTTCACAGAAACGGAGTCACACAGTACGTGACTGTTCGTGACGGGCTTCTGTCCCTCAGCGTCATGGTTTCTAGGTCCATCCGTGTGGGAGCGTCTGTCAGTGCTTCATTCCTTTTTATGGCTGAGTAACTGTCCACTTTATGGGTAGATCGCATCTTGTTTCTCTCTCCATCGGCTGATGGACGTTCAGGTGGTTGTTCTGGGCTATTACGAATAGTGCTTGCTGTGCACACGTTCTTGTGTAACTACGTATTTCCAGAGAAGATCAGTTTTAAATTTTGGTTATGTTCTTCCAAAGTATTTTCTGTAAGTATGTACATATGTATTTACATATAAATATACGTACCTTTGCGAATGTAGAACCATTGGATGTCTACTGTTCTGTAGCATGCTTTTTGCCACTTGATGGACATTTGAGTTTTTCATCATTTTAACCCGTTCAGGTCTGTCGTAGAGTCTTTTGTAATCCAGGTGTTCTTCACTTTGCAGGTCCCTGTCACTGTTCAGTCCATCGTTGTTCAGTCTCTAAACCAAACGTTAACCCGACTGGAAGACACCCAGGTTAATTTGCAGCCTGCTTTTGTCAGTGCTGGGAATCTTAATGTCTGCACTAATGTCGTTCTTGAGGTAGGCACCCAGTTTGGCTTTGAAAGCGTGATCTGCTTGAGACCCACTCAAGCTGTGTCCTGAGGGGGGTGACAGGACACCTTTTCAAGGGGGCTTTGGCACATCCTATTGTGTCACCTTTCCTGGCCTGGCCTCCTTCTTGCTTTTACGCTGTTTCATCAAAGGATGCTTCTTTTCTAGTCTCTGGAATAATTGGGTGATTTTTCCCCACAAATCTAGTGACTTGCAAGAGTATGTAAAAAGGTTGTTTTTACTAGGTTTTCTCTGCAGGGATAGGCCAATCATATTCTGCTTGGGTCCGCTGGTTTGGAACTTAGGACACTGGGTATCAGAGGCCTGCGTGCCCCTGGCCTGTCAGCTGCGGTGATGCTGAGATGGTAACACCTCTCTGAGTCCTTCTGGACGAGAGAGAAACATGTGAACAAGTGGAGGACCAGGAAAGGACTTGTCTCCTGAGTGTATTTTATTTGTGATGTTGATACAGCTACTGAAACGGGACGGAAGCAGGTTTTTAGAGCACCGCTGTGTTTTTAGGTCAAGTACAGCCTCACATATACAGATGCTGGTGAAATAACAAGAGCTGGGCTCTCTCTCCTTCTGGGGACAGTTAGCAGTGGAGTTGTTCCAATCCAGCAAAAGTTTGAAATTCACTTTATTCAGGTAAGTTTGGTCAACCCTGTGCAAATATCTAATTATGAAGTTAAAAAGAAATCATAACTTCTTAGTGAAAGTAAGTCTCAGTTTACAAGTATCTTTGAGCGCAGGGCTGGTGTAGCATGTGGAGTTTGGGATGGAATCAGGCAGAGTCCTTGCATCCTTTTCTGTTGGGGAGTGACTCCCTACCTTGGTAGCGTGTTCTCTTATAGCATGATGAGCTCCCACACTCAATAGATGTATTGATAGCTCTGTGGGGAGGGATTCTTTTATTGGTTGTAATTCCAGATTTTGTTATGAAAAGCATTTCATTTTCCCTGTCATTTCCTTGTTAAATTGAAAATTATTTGGGGGCATTTCTGCATTGACTTCCAGCGAAATACAAAGCCGGTTCCTCTCAGTGGAAACCCTGGTTATGTTGTGGGGCTCCCGTTAGTGGCTGGATTTCAGCCTCAGAAGGGGTATCCTTTTTGGTTACATAGAGAAGGTTGACTTCCCCATCCATGTGTGCGGGCGGGCCCCACTTCTCTTTATTGCTGAGGATCCTGTGGGCTGCTTATGAGATGGAGAGACCAGGTCTGAGCTAGAGCTTCCTGTGTGGGTTTGAGGGGGGGTGGTGAGCGGTTGGCCACACATCAAGTGGAGCTGAGAGGGGACTGAGGTTGGGGTGAAACAACACATTGTTAGAAATACCAGTGGTTTAAAATGAAAATCTTAAGACAGAAAAGTTGACAGAACCCTGGATATATTTAATTTCGCATTTAAACGGAGACTCCTAAGCAAATTTAGTGATTTTTGAAAATTTAGAATTAATTTTGAAGGGCCCGTTTCTGAGGATTTTTCTTCTGAAGATCTACTGATCAAGGAAAATAGCTGTAACTATCTTTTTCCTCTCCTGGGAAGTAACCGTCAAAATCCCACAGGTCTAGAGAAGGGATAGCTGGTTGCACGCGTGTCTCATGTCATACAAGTGACACCACACTGCCTTTCTGCCTGAGAATCAGGCTGCTCTGATACTGGGTGATTGTCCCTTAACTTCCTGTGAATGTCCGGGATTATTCAGATGACATACAGATACGGACAATTTACTATTCTTCACAGCACAACTGAGCAAGACTGTTTAGCAATAGAGGGGATCCGGACCCCAGTATTATTTGGTTATAATATGCATTCTGGCTGTAAACTAAGGTAAGAGAGCAACTTGTTTCTGTTTGAACTTGTTTGTGTTGATCCGAAAATGAATTCCCACCCACCCTGTCTTAAGAAACCTTTTGCGTTGGCTGCACCTGTATACGGCAAACCCATATGAAAGCTAGAATGTAGCTTCTATCATTATTAATGACAGTAGCAATAGTAGCAATACCTTATAATGGTAGTTTTTCATTTTCTAATTTTAACTCTCATAACAATAAACCATTTGTTAATAGTCCAAGGAAAATCATTTTTCTTATTCCCTGAATCAAATACACCAAAACCAAACAATTGCCATCGAAATGATTCCAACTCTTAGCAACCCTATAGGACAGAGTAGAACTGCCCCATAGGGTTTCCAAGGCTGTAATCTTTATGGAAGCAGACTGCCACATCTTTCTTCTACGGAGCGGCTGGTGGGTTCGAACCGCTGCTCCTGTTAGCAGTCGAGCGCTTAACCACTGTGCCACCAGGGCTGCTTGAATCAAATATGGCAGAATAGAAATGTCAAGTCTTTGTTTCATTTTGAAGGCTCCATAGCACTTGAGTTCACAGCAAAAATATCTTCCCCAAAAGTCTTTCCTGTATTTCTGAATTTTAATATACATGGTACAAGAAAACCAGTGATAAGCCAAAAATGTCACTTCTGTGCTTAATTTATCTTTTTCCTGTTATCAAACATGTACATAATGTAAAAAGGCAAATAGCTATATATGGCTTGTTATAAAAAACAGCAGGTCCTACTCTCATTTCGCCTACCCCAGAGGCAGTCACTTTCAAGTCTTGTAGCTGATTTTTTGCAAATTTGCCCCCCCATCCTTAAATAACCTGCATATAATGCTACTTCTTGAATTTTTGTTTCTATGAATTATTTATTGCCTTCCCACTATGGAAGATGAAGATTTGGCTCTTCCTCTCTTTATTCTCTACCCCATCCCCACACACTGCCCATCCTGACGTCTCCCCAGTATAGTTTTAATCATTAATTTGGTTAGACCAGTATTCATCATTAACATTAGTAGTTCTCATTTCTTCAGACCAGCATTTCTCAACGCCGATTCTATGGTATCCAGTCCCACAGGATTTCAGGAGGGGTAGGTCTATGGTCCAAAAGGTTTGGGGCTCATACACCAAATTCAAGTTGAAACATGAATCCTTACTGTGGGACTTCTCAGAGCCTTTAATATGTGCTTCAGGAGGGAACTGGGGTATGCAGCATTTCCCCAGCTTTGACTATGGAGTCCCTGCACAGAGCCTGTCAATGGAATACAGTTTGGGAAACACTGTTTTGACCTCATCTCCCTGGACAACTACCAAGATTCCACAAAGTTGGAGACAGCATAGGCTTGTCACCTAACCCCCATTCTGGAGAGTGACAGAATGAAACTGATGAGAACCACATGTCATTGAGCCTTAAAAACTGCTGGCCAAGGCACAGCATCTCACTCGTTGACCTCTTTTCCTTCCCCAAGACTGACCAGAGCTATCCCGTGTCGGCTCGCCATGCAGAAGGTGAAGAGCCTGCTCAAAGGCCAGGGCTTCCCAGATTATGTGGCTCCTTTCGGAAATTCCCGGGCCCAGGATGTGCTGGACTGGGTGCCTGTCCACTTCCTCACCCAGTCATCCAACATGAAGGTAAAGGGGAGAAGTTGAAGGCCCCATGCTAGCCATCTCTCCCACTTCCAGGCGCTCCTCCTCTTCTGGGTGGGGAGATTAGAGGCAGCTGGGGAAGCCTGTGAATTTTGCTGTTGATGGCTCTGGGTCGGAGCTTGGACTTTGTTATCAGGTTGGCCTGGATCTTGAATACTGATTTTGTCCCTTAGTAGCAATACTGCCTTCGTTTCTTCATTAGTGAAATGGAATAGTCATAGTAAACCAATCTCATGAGTCCGTTGATAGAGTTAAATGGGGCACCATTCTTTTGGCCCTTGGCATGGTGCCTGGTGGTCCCTCCCTAAAGGGAAACTGCTGCTCCCCTGACTATTACCTACAGTCACGCACCACATGACGTCCATTTGGGCAACATCCAACCATATACACATCTGTAGTCCGTGTGCGCCCTCTGGGGGATACCCACAGCTGGACTTGGCAGGGAGCCTGCCCTGCTGCCCTCTATCCTCAGGAACAGGGGCCCCTGCCACCGGGAGGACTGGGCGCCCAGTCCTGCCCCCAAGCACCCAAGGTCGCGCCAGCCAGGGCAGGGGTACTGGGTTTCGAGTCGGTGAGACTGCTCCCCTGCTGCCACGGCCCGAGCCCGGAGCCTTCCCACAGTGACCTTTATGGGGCTGTGGGACCTCGAGCCAGGTCCCCTAGCTGAGCGCTCCCCTGTCCATATGCTTGCTGCAGCTCACAGCCCCTGTGCCCGCGAGCCCCGCCCCCCACGGACCCAGATGTTCACACAACATCCGGATCACATAACAACCTGTTTCACAGAACGTATGGTGGATGTTAAGGGACGCGTGACTGTACTACCATTGGTAGTGGTGGTGGTATAGGAGCCCTTCTCTAGGCATCCTGTGATGAGACAAACGTGAGGACCAGCTCAGAAAGATGGAGAGCCCTCTCCTCCACACAGCTGTCCCATCCATCCCTTCTTCCGGGTCTGTCAAGGCAGTCCATACATGAGAGCTTTCAATTCAGAAGGTCCTAGAAGAGTTTAATGGAAGTTGACATCCTACAAATAGGTTCTTGTTCCCAAGTGATGCTTCTGCCCACCTCTTTCTTTTGTCTTAGCCGTCAGCTTGTGGGCCGGCCCCCATCATGGAGGCGTGCTCTCCCACAATCCTTTAATTGCCCAGGTTTTCCTCAGCACAGTTTCTTCAGGCCTCTCATTATCTGCTTAGCATATTTATAGCTCGGGGATAATGGGGTGAGGCCCCGCCTTCCCACCGAGTCCCCAGCAGAGACTGGTGATTACTCAGGCCCTGCTGTTCAGCTGCTAAATCTTGGCTCAGCTCTGCCACTTCGCTGAACCAGGCAGATCGTGTCAGGCTCCTTGGAGAGGGGGTGAAGACATCCAGTTATTACCTCCCCCTCAGAAGGAAAACACAGGTTGGGAGGAGAGGCATTCACAGGGCCCGGGGTCTGGTCCAGGGAGTTCAGAGGGCCTGGAGCAGGTTTTGTACCAACCCTCCAGGAACCCAGGGAGAAGCTGGCAGGAGAATAAGCTGCTGAGTGCGTTTGACAGCAGCTGCCTGTTGCATCATCTCCTGACAACAGGATATTCTCGAGAGGTTTTCAGCCTGCATTTTCTTAAAAGGCAGTTCCAAGCTAAGGAATCCCATCAGTGCCTTTTGGCAGGTACCAAATTTAGCAGGCCTGATAGCTTTTCATGCCCTACAGGGATGTACTTTTTAAAACTTTTTATTAAGCAAAAATGTCAAAATACACCAAAGTAGAATAGTACAGTGGTGTCCCCATTTACCTATCTTGCAGCTCTGACAGTTATTACATTTGCCAACTGAAGAGCCGCTAAAGGCAGGACAAAGGTCTGGAAGGCCCATTCACATAATGTCCGTTGGACCAGACCAAACAGAGGTCTCAGAGGGCTTGGTCCTGGCTCCTGCAGCCTCAGACTTGACTCGGGCAGCTAGACTGTGGCCTACCTGCTCTCGGTTCCGATGTCATTGCTGCTCGTTGCCGTCAAGTCGGCTCCAACTCATGGTGACCTTATGTATAACAGAATGAAACACTGTACCGTCTTCATGGTTCAGATGAAGACTTAATATCTTTGACAATATACACACATTGCTTGTATACCTAAATGTAACATCTTAATTGCCAACTGATGAAATTAGATAATTGAAAAGAAAGCACTTAAATTTCCTCTAAGTGCACTTCAACGTGACATGCAGTCAGGTTTAATTTCTATTAATAATGCCATCCCCTCTCTCTTCAATGCCAGTTCTCTTCTAAAGTATCTCTGAAGTAGGTGGAACTGGGTAGGAGTTTTCCCGTTTTGAAGTTAGATCAGTGAAGGCCCTGAAGGTTCCACAGTCGGGCACTGGGGTTATCACCACTGCCAGGTGATGATGGCTTCATTAGCAATGGGAGGGTTTAAAAAAAAACTGCTTGAGGCGTTAAAATTCTTTTGGAGCATTAAGCGCTTAATGTGCTTTCTGAAGCTGTTTTTATCTGGACTTTGAGTCTATTCATTCTCTTGTTCAGAACATTTTATAATATGAGCTGTTTTATAATTAAAATTCTGAACTGCAGGTGAAGTTTAACTTGAAGCTGGATCGTGTTCAGATTGACTGATGGCATTGCGTTTTGCAGGATTCATGCCAGGTCCCCGCGGCTTTGGTAATAGTAGTGAAGTGGACTAAATACGGATCCTTGGTGAACCCACAGGCTAAAATCGTGAACGTGACTGCAAACCTCATTTCATCCTCGTTTCCTGAGGTAGGCCTAACTTTAGTTTAAAAGTGTAGGTTAAGACACAGATCAAACCAAAACTCATGTTTGATAGGTGGAGTTTATTACTTTGCGAAAAAGATTATTACTAAAATTTAAACAATTCTTAAACAATTGAGCAGTCATTCTTTATATCCTACTTACAGGGGGAAAGAAACACCACTGACAATGATTTTATTCATATTAGCATTGTTTAGATTTAATCTTTAAAATTCTTAGAAAATTGAGTTGTGACTGATATTTGCAGCTTGGGTAAAAATTGTATCTCTCATCCAAGTTAGTGGCTGGTAACCCTCCACGTACCTACCAGATCACGGGCTGACAGTGGCCGACTCAGGAGGAGAGCGAACAACCGATGTCCCATCTCTGTTGTCCTGGTGACGTGCTGGAGGGCGGGGCTTGTCTTACTCTTATTTTGATTACAGGCAGACTCAGGAAATGAAAGGACGATTCTTATTTCCACTGCAGTTACTTTTGTGGATGTGTCTGCACCTGCAGAGGCGGGTTTCAGAGCGCGGCCAACCATCAACGCCAGGCTGCCCTTTAATTTCTTCTTCCCGTTTGTTTGACGTAAGTTGTTAACTAAGGACACTGCACGCACAGCTGTGAGGACTTCACCTTTAGTACAGCAGGCACATCCCATTTTGTTACCCTTCTCCGAACCCTCGTTTGGAAAAGGATGGAGTGTCCTCAGTTACAGGTCAAAGCGCAGTCTCTCCACTCTCTGCCCTCCTGACTTTTTTTGGATCAGGGGTTTTATTCTACTTGGTGTGAATGGAGAACGGGGAACATCTGGTCTTGGTCACTGTCAGCATTCTCAACACATAAATCGAAAATGGAATCCAAATAGCCTTGGGGTGGCGGTAAGGAGAGCAGGCCTCGAGCTGGCGCAGGTGTCCAGGGCTCCATCCAGCTATCATCCCACTGCCTTGCGTGTGAGTTATTTTAAAAATATTAGTTGTTTCAGCTCACGTTTTCTCTCCTTTTCAGGTCCCCTTGAAATGAGTGCAAAAATAGCAAAATTCTGTCTGAAACGGTGTAAGTAGAGCACAACGCCTCATAAAGGATCTTTCCCCAAATACCATGTTAATTACAGCGCAGTCTGGGCTCTAACTGCCATTGCTGAGCCAGGCTCAGGAGCCCGCTGGTGGGCTGGTGTGGATGCCACAGCACTTCCAAGCAGCTGAAGCTGGAAAGAACACAGGAGGAGGGTCCAAGGGAAGGAGAGAGTTTATTTTATACATTAATTGTACAGTAATTGAAAAAAATATTGTCAGGTCGCAGAATGAGGTGGAACCAGCTAGAAGCTGGTGATGCAGCTGTATGGTGTAGAGGGGGGCCTGGGTCCCCGGAGCAGCCTCCTGGGGGTGGGGGAGTACAGCAAGAGGAGCTGTTTAGAACAGCTTGGAAGTAAAAAGGACTTTTCTAGAATGGGTTGGCAGCTAACGTAGCTGCTTTTTCTTTCTTTTTGTTTGTTTGTTTTTCAGAACATTCCTGTGGAAGGATGTGCTGGCCCTCAGCGTACATGTGAACTTTAAAAACGACATTTGATGAGATTAAATTTTATATACAACTAGTAATTACCTGCTCTGTTGTTCATCTTCAAGCAAGAGTAAAGTGTTCACTATGAGAAAATAGAGTTCATGATACATTTGTTAGACAGTGTGGGGTGGGACTGGGATGGGGCGCTCTTGGCCACACTAAGGGAGAAATACAGCCTTAAGGAAAACTGCCCACACTGAATCAGAGCTGGACGTGAGGGAGTCAGAAGCGTCGAAGCAAACCTCTCCCCAAATGGCCCAGGAAAGGCTGTCGTCCTTCTCGTCCCAGGCCCGGCCCAGGCCCAGGGGCAGGGTTCTTCTTGGGGTGGAGCGCTGCACGTCTAGTTTATCTCACCAAGAAGTCCGTGCTGTCTCAATAGCTTGTTAAGTCGTTCAACTTCTTGTTCCTATTGGTACAAAAGCAGACAAACATCCGAGTTTACTTCCCGTTCTGAGCCTCACCAGAGATGTGACAGTCATTCACTGAGCCCAGGCACAGGGACACAAAAGTGAATGAAAGACAGCAGAATCCTGTCCACTGAAGGATACTGCTGCAGTCAGATCAGATGCTGTCCAGGGAGCAGCAGTGATAGTGGTGACAAAGGACACCCAGAGCAGGGGCACCTGGCCTAGCTCTGGTGAGGTAGGAACTGTTTCCAGGAGGAGGTGATGCTCCGCTGAATCGGAAAGGGCCAAGGACGGTGCCTAGGCTCAGGGCCTCCTAGGAGCAGAGGCAGTGCAGGGCCAGCAAATAGATGACATTTCTCAGAGGTGTCCTCTTACCTTCTCAGAGCAGCTGAACTCAAGGTGTTGGATTTTGGCGGCCAGTTGTATATTCATCTGTTTTAACCGTAAGAGTTGCCGTTCTGAACGTGTCTTAACTGAGATAATTATCCCTGGAAAAACAATTGAGGGTCTCAATGATATGGGTTTCTAATTTAACAATTAAAAAAAAAGATTTGTATTTTTGTATTCTTTATAGATGTATCTAGATGATACACAGATACTATAGATGTATCGAGAAGAGCGGCGACAGACAAGTAAAACTATTAACCGTTACTTCAACGCATCGGAACTAGGAGGGTCAGATTATTTCTCTGAGCTACTCAGCACCCAATTGTGAAATATTTCTCTTCAGCCCACAGAGGCTGAGAAATCCTTAGAAATAATCACTGACAGGGTGACTGTCATCACCTGGCAGCAGTGGCCACACGAGCCCAAGGCCGGAAACTCCACCCGTGGTGGCATCCTCACCGCCGACTCGCTGCCTCCACGGCTGTGGCCAGTTTAGTGGTCAGGTGCCGGCCTGCATCTTGGCTGACAGACAGATCAGCCTCATCTGATGGCTCCCAGATGCTCACATGGTAGGAGACACGGCCCTCAAAAGACTGCGCTTTGACCTGTAACCGAGGACACTCCATCCTTTTCCAAACGAGGGTGCCCATGTCTCAACCTGGCACTGCACAGGTGGTGCCTGTGAGGGTGGGCTCAGCACCCCGGCTCCTCGTGGTTGGTTCCCTGAGCGCGGGGTACCTTGTGTTGCTTTGTCAGAGCTTCCAGCACCGTGACGCAGACACTGGTCGGCCCTTCTCAGTCTGCTAACATTTAGACAACACAACCAAATCTCAGACTTTTGGTTTCATCTGCAAAAGCCAACCTCCCCACGGTATGACGGTGTGATGAGAGAGTGAGGGATAGGAACTGTGGTTGACCAGTCACTGACAGCCAGTAGTGGTTTATCTGCCTCAACTGCGCATAACCTTGGCAGAGTACTGGTCTGTCTGATCAATGAAATACCTATCAGCATAAGCATCTTCAGTAGCAACTGAAAAGCTTCCTTTATTTCCCCCAACAGAGTCCAAACGAATGTTCTTAATGGGCTTTATTTTAATGACTAGGCCTGAATCTGCTGGTGACTGACCCTTAAAGCCAACCAGAGCCCACGGGCAGAGCCCTGCCCACCGCCCCACAGCTGGAGCAGACGCTCCTTTGGGGGCAGGGCTGCAGCCGCCTGGGTCAGCAGGAGAGGCTGTGCTCACACTCGCCAGCCCGCCGAGGGGGAGCTCGATGTCAGAGGACCAACCCCAGGCCACAGTCCTCACTCGTTCTGACAGTAACCCACAGCCCCTGGTCTAGGGAGTCTCAACCCCGGCTGGACACCCAAGTCATTCCCCATGTTGATAACTGAAAGCTGCAGCAGCAACTCCGGTGCAGCAGGGCTATGGACAGGCATTTGAGGAGCTCTGGTGGCGCAGTGATTAAGAATTCCGCTGCTAACCAAAAGGCTGGCAGTTTGAATCCACCAGCCGCTCCTTGGAAACCCTATGGGGCAGTTCTCCTTTGTCCTGTAGGGTTGCTACGAGTTGGAACTGATTCTACAGCAGTGGGTTTGGTTTTTGAACAGTTAGTCGGCTGGCCGTCACTCTGTCAGCATAAAAGCACAGCAGAAACTTGGCTTCTCAGAAAATAAGGCTCCCTAGGCCAATGGAGGAACAGGCTTTTTACCAGAAATAAAGCAGTATTTCCGAAGTGTGTTCTCTGGAACCAGAGTTCTGTGGCAGACCAACAGGGATTATTTCCCCCAGCAAAGTGCTCCACGTTCAGTTTGGAGACCACAAGTTCTCAGAGGCTTTGTTATGGTAATGTGCGTTGTGACCCTCCTTTCTCAACTTATTTGTACCCCTCTTTTGCGGTACACCTCCCAAGGTGGGGCTGGTTTTGGAAACACCAAATTAAAAGCTAGAGGTGTTCTGGGAAGCAAGCTGGGAGGGAGGGATCAGGGATCAGTCCACCCCGTTTCGTAACTGTCTTTTAATGATCAAGAGAATGTGGTCTAAGAGAAAGGCATTTCCTCTGGGAGCACACGTCAGGGTCACACTGTGCAGCCCACAGGCGGCGGTCACATGCCCAATCCCACCACTTCACTTTTCTCTAGACTCCTGAAGAGGAGGAGACTGGAAGGGAACCACGTGGGTGTGAGTGCAGGAGCTGCCCCCGCTTCGCCGGGGGCTCAGCAGACGTACCATTGACGATGCGGGCCACTCGCCACAGCCGGAGCAGAATCAACAGGCCAAGAGCCTCAAACTCATGCTCCCGGAACAGGAGGACGATGTCGAGGATGAAGGAAAGCACCACTACAATGGCATCCAGGATTTCAAACTTGTGGTGAAAGAACTCCAGGCGGAAGACAAATATCTTAAAGGAAATCTCCATCATAAAAAAGGTCAAGATGGCGATGCTCATGTAGTGGAACACCTGGAGGGACAAGGAGCCACAGTGAGAGCAGGGAAGGACCTACGGTCACGGCTGGGCCAGGTCGCACAGACGAGCTGACCTCGAGAGCACCTGCCTGGTCACCAGGAGGAGAATCCACTCATTCAACAAATACTGAACTATGGAGCCCCAGGTGCCGTGCTCTGTGCTGGTATACAGCTGCAAACATACATGACAGATGACCCCCCGGCTCTACTCTTTGAAGGGCATGTAGGCAATCAATATCTATCAGAATTAAAAGCATATATACCCTTTGGCGCAGCAAATGCACTGCTAGGAGTTTATCCAACAGCTAAGCTCACGTGCACAAAAACGTAACGGTATTTGCTGCAGCATTAGCTGTAGAACAAGAGTAGAAACAACATACATATCTACCAGAAGGCCATCATCAGATGAATTATGGTACCTCCATATGGAGCACTACCCAAGTGTGAGACCAAGTCAGACCCATGCATGCAATTTGGAATGATCACCAGGGTAGATGGTTGGTGAAAGAGTTCCCAGATCTTAGTTTATAAATGCCACTAAAGTCCTCACTAAAGTACTAAATTTTTCCACAAATAACACAGCCACGTAAACAACGTGCCCACACACAGTGCACCTAGGAAAATAACGCATGAGGGGGTTGCATGGTTGGCAAAAAATGTATAATGCACACACTATCTGCATAAAAATACGGTAACCATTTCCAATTCTGAGGCAGGGAAAGTACAAAGAAGTCTGGGAGCATCTTCTTCTGCCAGAAAGCAAGGAAATGCTCCAAGACTTCTGGAGTCATGCCTAAAGGACAGAGCAGTCAGCTAAGAGGCTCACAATAACCAAATACGGGACAATTTGAGCATTACAAAGGTTGAGTGTAATACACTAAATTAAAAAAAAAAAATCCTTGTGTCCATAGTGATACACCCACACACATACATGCACACATATAGAGAAAAAGGAAAGCTCTTCTTCACAGAAGAATCTAGAGGAAAGACGATTAAAAAATGACCATTTTGCATCCCCCAACGCATTCACTGACTCAAGCAAGGATCATCAATGGAGGTGGTTGGGAAGAGGATATTTGCATGGCACCAAAGTGCCACCAGGCAGATTACTTCTCACTGCAAAGGAAAAGTTACCTGCAGTGCAGTGAATTACTTAATATGGCCCTTCTAGCCACAGTCTTTTTAACTCCCACAAAATGACTGGGTGGGACTATGCAAATGAGGTGCTTGTGGCCCACCATGGGGATTGGATAGCTTGCTAACGATGTAAATAAGGTGCCTGGCACCCTTGTGGGGGTAAGACCATGTAAATAAGGTATATGGAACCCTAGCGAGGGGATTGGCCAGTTTTGCCACCCTGCTAGGCTTAAAGGGAGACATGGAGAGAGAGAGAGAGAGAGAGAGAGGAGCTGTAACACGGAAGACAGTGAGAGACGGCAGGAACCAGAAGACTGGCGCAAGATGGCTGCAGTGAGGCTTGTTGACCCACGGAGTTAAGAGGTATAACACTTGTCTGACAAGGCCCCAGCAGGGCCGGGGGCAGAGAGCGAGAAGAAGCTGTCCTGAATGAGGAATTGCATCCTGAGTTGTTCCTGTTGCTTCCAAGTTGATCCCGATCCCAAATTGTACCGTTACTTCCCTAATAAACCACTTAACTGTAAATATGGTTCATGAGTTCTGTGAGATGTTGCAGCAAATTATGGACCCCGAAGACGGGAGAGAGCGCACTGAGGGGAGGGGGAGTAGTTGATGTTAGAGGTGGTGGAGCAGGACAGAAGTTTGGAAAAGCTGGACATTTGGGACATCTTTAACCTCCGCCTCACAGGAACCAGCTTTGTGCTGATCCTTATAAAAGAAATTATTCTTTTAGTACCCTGGATGGTGGGGCAGTCCAGCATTTACTGCCTTAACCAGGTGATCCAACTCGGTGTCACTAACAGTGGGGCTCCTGCCGTGACGGGCCTCCTGATGACGCAGCATGAAGGACACAGCCCACCAAGGGAAGGCCCGGGGGCTTTTCTGCTCTACCATGCTTGGGGTCTTCATAACGCAGCCCATTATACGTTGTTCAGGTGTTACGATGCTTCCAGATAGAAAGTGACGAACACTCACGTTCAAGTGTAGGTGCAGAGAAGTAGCCTCGAGCCCAAGGGAGGGTGTAGTTTGGCTGCTGCGTGTGCGTGTGTATGTGCACGTGTGTGTTACCTGCCCCACTCTGCCCACCCTTGGTGCGGGTGACAGAAGGAGACCCAACAATTGCCGACACACTACCCTGGCAGCGTAGTTGTTCCTGTCGGGCTGGATGATCTTCAGGTCCAGGATGAGTTCGGCGAGCACCAGGAGGGCATCCAGAATGACCAGGCAAATGATGATAACCTGCGGCCAGGGGAAGTAGGAAGAAACCATCGACTTAACAGGGACCCTTCTTTTAGCTGTAAACACTGGTTTGGACACATTCAGTTCAAACCATCCAGTAAAGATGCCAAGGTTGGGAGGAGGCCGCTGCCAGGACCCCGAGCGCTCTACAGGGAGCCTGGGGGCCAGCTGCCTCTCCTACAGAGAAGCCTCCTTGCCGCTGCCTTCCAGGCCTGCTTCCCTCCGGCAGGCTCTGCCTTCCCTGCCCCCCGGAGCATGTCTGCACCACTCGTTTACCAACCCCTCAGCCATTACTAGTCCTTTCTTACCCGTTCCCTGTTTCTCAAATAGCATCTTTCAAACCCCACTGCTAATTCCTAGAGGGCAATAAATAAGTAAATAAATATTGTATTTCTTGCAAGGGTAGGCACAGAACAGATAATAAATAATTCAAAACATCCCAACCTCAGCGATCTGAGCCCTAGAAGGGACCTCTGGGGACTGCCTACTTCAGGCAATGGGTGAACGGTGATTCCCACTGTACAGATAAAACAGCTTCTGCTCAGAGACGTGAAACACCCACCCCAACTCGCATGTGCTCATTAGAGGGGCAAGGGAGACTAAGCCCTGGGTTTCCTGGAGAACTGAAAAGAGCTGCTATGGGAAAGACAATCTTCCATGCAGTCTTATGCCATGTGTCTCCATGGGCGTGGCACCCTACTGGTGGCGGAGGAGGGGGGCAACAGGGGAGAGTGTGAGTGGTCTCACAAATGGTGGTTGGAGGAAGTAGTGGAAGTGAGGGGGTGATGGAAGTGGACACGGTCACAGTGATGGAGTAATGGTGTTGGTGAGGACACCGATGGTGGCACTGAGGTGACTGCGTTTGGGGAGACCACGGGAAGGTGACAGAGGTGGTGATGATACTGGTGAGGGGACCAATGGTGGCGTGGAAGTGACTGCATTTGGGGAGACTGTGGGGAGGTGACAGAGGTGGTGATGATGTTGGCGAGGGCACCAATGGTGGCGTGGAGGTGACCATGTTTGGGGAGACCACGGGGAGGTGGTCACAGTGGTGAAAATGGCAGCAATGGAAGGAGTCCTGAAGGATACTGGGTGACCCCTCTCTTCCCTTGGACATTCTGGACCATCACTTGCTTCCCCCAGGACCTTGCCTTCTACACACTCAGATCAATAGATCTTGACCTCTGAAAATTAATCTGCCATTATCTTGGCAAATTCTGCAGTTTCAGGTTTAAATTAAAAAGTTTAGGCCTATGCCAGAACAGACTAGTAAACCTTTTGACCATTTCAATCTTTATCTCTAATTATTGCCGTAATTAAAGTATTTGATGGCATGGCTTATTGTGAAAACCGCGTGGTAAATTGCTTTATAATGAAGTTTTCCCATATACCCATATTCAGTAGCTTAAAAGATCCAAGCCTCTGGTATTTGTTTTTCCATCCCTGGTTTTATTAGAGCTAAAGGGCTGAGAGCTCATCTGGCCTAAAACCAAGGCACAGAGATAGTAAGAGGCAGACCCAAGGCCACCAAACCATGACATGCGGGCCCAACCCCATCCTCTGTCAGCTAAGCCCCAAGGCCCAAATTGTCCTGTTCAGAAGGCAGTACTATAGCTAAGGGAGCCGCGTCACAAAGAACAATGCCAGGAATCCAGCTCAGCTGAGCCTCAGAATTCAGGGTACAGAGCGTGCTTTAGCCCAGGGCCTTGGGGACATCTCTCAGTACTGAGAGCCTCTGCACAAGGAGCCTCTCCAGACTTCACTGCCTCCCAGGGAGAGTGGGGTTACCCGTATTTCCTACCCCAGAGGCATGATGGGAGCATTACCCGAGATAACAGGGAGGGTGAAAACAGTGAGGCTCTTTCTCAAAAAGTGAAACATAGAATTAATGTATAATGCAGCTACTCTACTCCTAGGTATATACCCGAAAGACTAGAAAGTGGGATCTCAAATAGATCCTTGTACACGTGTTCATAGTAGCACTACTGACATTAGCCAAAAGGTGAAACAACCCAAATGTCCATCAACAGGTGAATGGATCAACAAAATGCTGTCTATCCATACAAGGGAGTTTTATTCAGCCATAAACAGAAATGACATTCTGATACATGCTACAACATGGGTGAACCCTGAAAACATGCTCAGGGAAAGAAGCCAGTCACCGGAGGGTGAATATGGTATGATGCCACTTATCTGACATATTCAGAATAGGCAAATGCATAGAGATGAAAGTTTAATAGTGGCTACCAGGGGCGGGTACAAGAGAGGAATGAGGAGGTTACTGCTGAAGGGGTACTGAGTTTCTGTTTGGGGTGATGAAAAACTTTTGGAAATGGTGATGATGGTTGTACAACATGGTGAATGTAATCAATGTCACTGAATTGTACATGTAAAAATGGTTAAAATGGCAAATTTTATGTTATATATATTTTACCACAATAAAATTTTTTTAAAATTGAGGCTCCTGTGTCTTCATGACCATTGTCCCCTGGCCCAATTCTACCCTATCTGTCCATATTCTCTCCCTTGGCTGTGTCATCCTTGTGTAAGAAGTAACGCCACTTAGCCATATGTCAAGTGACCGTGGCCACCTCACACCATCACAACAGGTAGGGATTGCAGAAGGATGCCAGCAGAACCTTCTGGCATGCTGATTCTACCTATAGAGAATCACAATCCCTGATCTCTTCTCCCCTACTCCCCTCCTCTACTCAAATCTGGCCTCCCTGCTTCCACCCTGAGCCTTTCCACAAAGCTGACCATGCCACCCTGCTGCCCACACCCCCAGAACCTTCCTGGCTACCCATGCCTCAGGGCGTGTGACTGGACCTGCCCTCGCTCCCTTCTCTTGCCAAGCTCTCCCTCTGCCTCCAGACTCAGCTGGCTCTTTCCCACATCAGGCCCCCTAGGCCTGGAAAGCTCCTCCCCTCCCCATACTGAGCACACTTCTGCCCTTCTCAAGCGCCAGCTGAAATATCACCTCCTCCAAGGCCCATCCTCCAACTCCCAATCCTAAATCCGGTCTCCTCCCACCTCCAGGATCTCCCAGAGCCTCTTCTGTAATACTTGTGTCCATTCATAATCATATTCGGGTGAGGGTTCCTTCCACCCTAGACCACGGGATTCATAAGGGCAGGGACCTTATCTGCCTTGTTTGTGGCTGTACCCTCAGCACATAGTAGGTGCTTAATAAACAACTGACAAGTGAATGAATAAACATCTCTACTTATGGGACAACAGTCTTCTCTTTTCTCAGTAGGAGGGTCCCCGGGGGTCCAAGGTCAGGGTGCCAGCCCCCAGCAGGCCAAGTGGCCCTGTGGTCCAGCTGGGCAGGGAGAAACCCCTGAGGGGGGAAGTCCAGGGCTCCCTCCTGCAGCTGGAAGGAAGCTGGCTCCTTCCTTCTGCCCTTGAAATTTAGGGTTTGGGATTTCAATCCCAACAACTTAATACCATGTTTCCTTTCCTGTCACAGCCACAGAGGGAGCGAGCTGACGTGTAGGGAGAACTGGGTTGTTGCCTTGTTTCAGTGGTTTAAACCACACGAGAGGGAAAAAAAGACCAAATTAATTTTTTTCTGTTTTACCCTAGAACAAAGTCAGTGATGGGAGAGGCAAGAGCCTCTTCTCTCTGTTTCTAGAAGGGACATTGGCACTGGGAGAAAATGGTTTATTCCGGTTTAGGAGGAGGCTGACAGCAATGTCCCCAAAATGGCTTCATTCCAGAACTGGAATGACAGGAGCTTCAGGCTTTCCTAAAGTCACTGGGCCTCACCCATTCTCTGGAGACTTGAAACGTGCTTCCAGACCCCTGTGGGCCCACCTCAGGGCTGGCAGGAGAGGGCAGTTCAGAGAGGGCAGGCCAGACTCAATCTGCATCTGCTCTTCAAACTTTCTGAGGATGTCAGGACCAACACCGAACCCCGTAGAAAGTTCAGGGATCTTTGCTATTCTTTGAAGTCCCACCTCCTCCCTTATCTTCTCCCCATAACCACACCCTGAGGCCAGCAGTGGGTTAAAGCCAGGTGGACATTTCTGGCATCACTTCACAAACGAAGAGACTGAGGACCGTGGTGAGGGATAGGACGTTGTCGGCCTCGTTCAACTCAGAGCAGGCACTCCATGTTTGTTGAATGAATGAATGAGTGTTTTTTTTCCATCTCCAATGTTCACTCTTTAATTTTTTTATTGTGGTAAAATACAAATAACAAAATTTACCATTTTAACCATTTTAAAGTGTACAATTCAGTGGCATTAAGTGCATTTGCCATGTCGTCAACCATCGCCATTACCTAGTTCCAAACATTTTCATCACCCACAAATGGAAACTCCATACCCATTATTAGCAGTCACTCCCCCACCCCCCCTCTCTCCACGCCCCCGCAACCACTCATCTGTTTTCTGTCTTGATGGATTTGCCTGTTCTGGATATTTCATATAAACGGAATCCTACACTATGTGCTCATTCATGACTGGCTTCTTTCACTCAGCATAATGTGTTCAAGGTTCATCCATATTGTAGCATGTATCAGGACTTCATTTCTCTTTATGGCTGCGTAATATTCCAACTGAAAGGTCAGAGGTTCGAAACCACCAGTGGCTCCGCGGGAGAAAGACGTGACAGTCTGCTTCTGTAGAAATTTACAGCCTTGGAAACCCTATGGGGTCACTATGAGTTGAAATTGACTCGACGGCAGGGGGTTTGGGTTTGGTTTTGGTATGTATACAGCAGATTTTGTTCAGCCATTCATCCACTGATGGGCCTTTAATGCACTTTTGATTATGATTCACTTCCCCCTGGACATTGTGGGCTCTGCCCACTGTGCGCCCAGTGCTGGGTGGAGCGCCTGGCACATGGATGGCAGAGATGGCCCCACCTCAGCCTCATGACCCTGGCTGAGAGTTCCTCCCCCACACCCCCGCGCATCTCAGGCTTCTGCCCCACCTACCTGAAACCTGTGACAGCTGAAGAGCTTCCGCAACGTGGCCCTGAACTCTAGGCGGGGACTGGGTGCTGGGGCAGGGCCAGCAGTTGGGTCATCAGCTCTGCCCTCCTCGCCAGAGGCTGGCGTTGGTGGCTGTTCCTCCTCCTCCTCCTCCTCATTCTCCCACTTCTTGTAGTTGATGTTCCAGGTGTGGTAGTCGTCCCCAACGACCGTAAAGTGCCTCAGGAACTTGCTCATCCTCTCTGCGGGAGCCACTTTGGCCCTGCGGGTGACTGCCTGGGGACAGAGGAGGTAGTGCTTCAGGCTGGGCAGCCCTCAGAGCCTGTCTGGACCGCTCGGACCCCACAGTGCTCTGATGGGGAGACAGGCCCAGGCTGGGCCAGGCCTCAGGGGTGAAGACAGTCCCGAGGCGCTCAGAACACTGTGTGAGCTCAGAGACCGTGAGATCACGGTGGTTTCTTGTGCTTTTATTTTTGGAATCCAGGGTCTCAGTGCCAGTGAGGCAACAGGAAACCCCAGACCCATCAGGCCCGTCCCTGTGGTCTGCCTAGCAGTAACCAACGGAATTGGTTCTGCAGCTCCGTCACAAAATACCCACCACAGGCCCGTATGTGAATACCGGAACAGCTGGGCCCCATGGTTCAGAGACATCACTACCTGAAAAAGTGGAGGTGAGAGCTGGCCTGGGGTGGGGGTGTGTGGAGAGCTGAAAGTAAAAGTACCCAGACTTTCACAGAAGTGCAATGAGACCCCACTCATACCACAGATCAGTTCTTGAAAGGTGAGTGGCAAATAGATTTTTTAAAGTTCAGCCAGTGCTGTTTTAAATATACTATGGACAACTGTTTAAATAGAGAAGACGTCAAAGCACATAGCAAATAATCCTCTCCTTGCCCAACTTACCCTACCTAATATTAAATTTTTTATACAGGTGGATGATTAAAACCTTCTGGTATGGGTTTAAGAATAGGCAATATGATCAGTGGAACAGGAAAAGAGAGCCCGAAATAGACCCACGTCCCTGTGTAACCTGGGATGTGACAGCATTACAGATCAGTAGGAAAGTCTGGAGAGATAGGACATCTGGCTTTCATCATTAATGCAACAAAAAAATCTTAACCCTACCTCACACCACACACAAAATAAATTTCAGATGCACTAACAATAACATATATAAATGTATAAAAGAAAACTTTAAAACTCTTAGCAGAAAATACAGGGCAAGTATCTTCAAGACCTCAGGATAGGAAGAAATTACTTAAATAAGACACACAACACAAGGGAAATTGATAGATTTGACTGCATCAAAACTAAAAGTTTTGTATGACCAACCAGTCAACCAACGAACCAAACAACAAAAACCCTAAAAAGTTAAAGTACACACCACAGATTGGGAAAAAATATTTGCAATGTATTTAATAGACAAAGATTTAGTTTCCAGAATATATAAAGAAATAAAAACGAGAAGGGAGAGGGTTGACATGTTGTGGGGTTGTTAACCAATGTCATAAAACAGTATGTGTACTGACTGTTTAATGAGAAACTATTGGTTCTGTAAACCCTCACCTGAAGTACAATTAAAAAAAAGAAATAAAAAAAATTGGGCAATGGATATTAAAAGGCAGGTCAATTTAAGAGGAAACCCAAATGGCTAAGATGCTCAACCTCACTAGCACTCAGGAAAATGCAAATTAAAGTAACCATCACACACATTTTCACTTCTCAGACAGGCAAGAATGAAAAAGTCTACACTAGCAAATGGTGGTGAGGGTGTGAAGCAATGGGGTCTCTTGAACACGGAAGATAGGAAAAGCTACTGGCACCATCATTTTTTTTTTTAATTGTGCCTTAGGTGAAAGTTTATAGCTCAAGTTAATTTCTCATACAAAACTTCATACACATATTGTTACGTGACATCAGTCACAATCCCTATAATGTGACAGCACACTCCCCCTTTCCACCCCAGGTTTCTTGTGTCCATTCAGTCAGTTCCTGTCCCTTCCTGCCTTCTCATCCTGCCTCTGGACAGGAACCGCTCATCTGGTCTCGTGTATCTGCTTGAACTAAGAAGCACACTCTTCACGAGTATTATTTTATGCATTATAGTCCAGTGTAATCTTTGTCTGAAAAGTTGGCTTCGGGAATGGTTTTACTTCTGGGTTAAGAGAGCATCTGGCGGCCATGGCTTCGGGGGTTCCTCCAGTCTCAGTCAGACCAGTAAGTCTGTCTCGTCTTTTCACATGGCACCACTACTTTTGAGAAGCAATTTGGAATAACCTTGTCAAGGTGAAGTTGAGCATATTCTATTTAATGATCTAGTGATCCCATCCCTAGATATACTCCAAAGACAAACTCCCCTACATGTGCCCAAATCAATGGTGTGTTCAAGAATGTTCACTGCAACACCTGAAACTGGAAGAGTATTTAAAAAACCACCTACACGTCCATTATCAGGACGTAGATGAATGAAGTCTTACCTGTTCATGTGATGGAATACTATACAGATGCTAAAATGAATGGAAGTCTCTACATATCACTGATGACTTCCCCATTGACCCTCTCAGCAGCACTGTACACAGTGGGTCACTCCTTTAGTCTTCAAACGTTTCCTTCACTTCGCTTCTAGAATGCCACACTCTCCTGGTTTTCCTCTACCTCAAAGAACTCGTCTTTGCTGGATCTCTTAAGAGGAATGCCTTACACTGAAATATTGGTCTTACATTAATATTCCCAGGGCTAAGGTCTCAGACCACCTCTCTTTTCCATACTAAGTCCCTAGAGAATCTCATTCACCCCAGGGCTTTAAATACTATCTCTACGTTGATGACATTCAAATACTATTTCCTGTCCCAATCTCTCACCTGAACCCCAGAAATGATATCCAATTGCTTACACAACACTGCCCTTAGATATCTAACAGATCTCTTACACCCACCATATCCAAAGCAGAACTATTCATTCTTCACCTAAACCGTCCTCTTCTCAGTTTATTGCATTTCATTTGTCCAGTTCCTTAGGCCCAAAACTCTGGCATCACTCTTGATCTCTCTCTCTCTCTTATTCAGCATTTGCCCAACAGTAATTCTGTTGGCTTTGCCTTTAAACTACATTCCCAGTAGGACTACTTCTCCCATCTCCATTGCTATTCCCTAGTCCAAGCCAATCATCGCTTGCCATCTCTTGCCTGGATTACTGCAGTAGACTCCTCCCTCCCTGCTCCCCATATCCATTCAGCAACCAGAAAGAAGTTTCTAAAATATAAACGAGATCATGTCACATTCCTGCTTAAAATCCTCAAATGGTTTTTCAGCACACTTAGTCTCTCTTCCTGAAAGTCTCTTCCCCCAGGTATCTGCATGGCTCACGCCCTCTCGTAAGTCGGGTTTCTGGTCAAATATCGCCAATTCCAAGAGACCTTGTCTGGTCAGCCTCTCCAGTCACACTCCATCCCCTTACCCTGCCTCATTTGTCTTTATTGTACTTATTGCTCTCTGACACTATATATGTACCTGTTTATCTTTTTATTATCTTTCTTGCCTACTAGACATGAGAGTGGGGCTTCTGTCTTGTACAACTGTACACCCAGTGCCTAGAACAGTGCCTTGCACTTAACAGACACTCAAAAACATGCAAATATTTGTTAAGTGACTAGGTGGATATAGCGATATGGATAGATTTTTAAAAACATGCTGCGTGTAAAGAAGATACAGAAAAATATGAGCAGTACAATACCACTTAGGTATAATTTTAAAATACACGCAAAATATTACTATGTATTATTTTTGTAAAGTGTAAAAATACAAAAGAATGGGATTTCTGGTTCTGGCCACGGTGGAGTAACTGGTACCAGACTAGTCCTCCTGTCATAAACAATTATAAACTGGACAAAATATATAAAATATACTGTAATCCCTAAGAGAAGATAAACAAATGAGGTATTCCCATAATCACCCTGGCTTTCTGCTTCGAGGTACTTTTTGAACTGTGGAGGCAAATACTGAAGTTCAGGGCTATTAAGGCTCCCTCACCCAGGAATTTGCATGGCAGGGTACCAGAGAGAAGGAAGCTGTGCAGAGTAGGAGCTCCAAGAATTGGACTTGGGCTGAGTCCTAAATTGCACATGTGTAGAGCAAGATTCCATGAGGCAGGACAAAAAAGACTCTTGGTGATCTGTGAGCTGAACAACTATAAGAGATTACACAGGGCTAGGCTGGGAGATGTGTGAGTTCCAAACAGCCAGAATGGAGACATCTCATTGAACGTCCTGAACATTCAGATGAAAGCCCAGAAATGCCATGCCTTAGATGTAGAAGTATCCCTAAAATAAAGGCTACCTTAGACTAACCCAACTAAGCTTAAAAATAAGTCTTGAAAAGATCAAGCTGATCCACAAGTACATTAACTGCCAGCTGGAACAAAACTCAATCTTCTACTAGGGAAGACAACCCAATTCACTCAGCAACATAGCATCCATGATGTCCAGCATACAATAAAAAATTACAAGACAGGTCATGAAGCAGAAACATGTGACCCATAACTAGTAGAAAAACCAGTCAACAGAAAGACTCAAAACAGAGACAGTAGAATTAGTAGAAAAGGAATTTAAAACAGCTGTTATAAATATATTCAAGAATTTCAAGGGAAACATGAATTTAATGAAGAAACAAGTAGGGAATATTAATAGAGAAGTGGAAACTATTAAAAAAAAAATCTAAATGGGTAGTCCACAACTAAAAATACAATATATGAAATGGAAAAAAAAGATCACTGGATGAGCTTACAGAGACAACATCAAATTGTGTAACGTACATGTACTTGGAGTACCAGAAAGAGATGAGGGAAAGATTATGGCATAAAAACTATTTGAAGACATAATGGCTGAAAAGATTTCTAAATTTGATGTAAAGATAGAAACATATGGGTCCAAAAAGCACAATGAACCTCAAGCAGGATAAAAATATAAAAGAATAGACTGGAAGGAGACACCAACTTTATGGCAGTGGTTGCTTTAGGAGAGGTGAGGGCTGCGGGAGTAAAAGTAGGGGATCAAAAAATACTTGAACTCTATCTGTAAAATATCTTGTTTAATTACAAAAAGACTTGAGGAAAATATGACAAAATGTTAACAGCTATCAATTCAAGATGATGGTTACATAAGTATTTGATATTATTTTTGTTCTTTTACAGTTTTTACATTTTTTTAAATTAAAATAAAACAATCTCTCTCCATCACCATACCTTTGGTGTACACGCAGATTTTTTCATAACAGAGTTTC